CTCCTGGTGGAGTCTCTGTCGCGTGGAAACCCCAGATACCAAAACCAAGTCCTACAAAGCCATGATTGCTCTCATGACTTTGTTCCTCCCCAGATAGGCCCAGCAGCGGGGTCCTGCACTCCTTACACACTGTGCAGGTAATGTACGAGTGCACACTACGGTACGTCCACACAGCAGCGTTAAAAAATCTTCCAACGCTTCTGCCCATGTCACTTTGAATGGGTGACGTCACTTTGCCTCACTTTTCACCGACTGCATTGTGGGAAGCAGAGCGGGGCGCTTCCCAGGCATCTCAGGCTTCAAAGTTGAGCAATGTTCTACTTTTGAAGCTTCTGAAGCTTGCGGTGGAAGCGTCAGCCAATCAAATCATATCCAGTACAAGCTCTAGCCAATCAAACCGCTGCTTGTGTCTCAGGGGCGGAAGATTCATGTGATTTGTTGTTGGTCGAGCTCAGACAAGCCCGCCGGCACAGCTTTTTCCAAAGCCGCTTGTGTGGACGGGCCGTAAGACATTTTATTAATGCAAGCATGTAGTTTCATTGTTTCAGAGCATGTGCCCTCTTACTAGTTTGCTCACTCACTTTGGCCAAATGTAAACTCTTTTTTGATGTGATCTATACTTCTCACAGCCAACATGAAGACCAGCCCATCACAGCATAGTAGAACCTCTGCTGGGTTTGCTCAGTTCTCTGCACCTGGAGGTTCAGGATGAAGGTAAGAATAAAAACTTTTACTGTGGTTGATACATTTTTTGTTTGTATGCCAAATCTTGCTTTGAAATTACAAATGTATTTGGTATTCCCTGTGTGCTGGGGCTCTAAAATTGTCGGTCCTGTCATAAATGATCAATCCTTTATTGATTTCCTTGTTGGTCTTGCAGCTATAAATCTGATTTTGGGTCTGAGGTGTTATGAAGTTAGGCCGCTGCTGCTCGACGGACTGGTGGCTCTGCTGAGGCCAACTAAAGAAAATGTGCAGCACCAGAATATGCAAGGGTGACACTTTATCTTTAAGTGTGTTTGTTTTACTATAAAGGGGACCTATCATGCAAAATGTACTTTTTTTGATGTCTTTTATACATAAATATGTGTCTCCGGTGTGTCGGAAAATAAAACCCTTTCTCTTTTCCTCCGTACCCAAATCTTTTTACAAAAACCGGGGTAGGGGGTAAACGAGCGGATACAGATTTGCTGCCGATCTGACGTCAATTGGCGGCGGACCGACAGAAAATTGCTATCAGGAAACAATGCCTGACGTGGTTTTGGACGTATATGGTCTTTGTTTACATAGCAAGCCTCGCTAACACACTCAAAGCTAACCTGTACTGGAGAGCACATGTGTTTAAAAGCAGGAAATAAAAAAAGGAACTCACCTTGTGATAAACCCGCAAGAGAAAAAAGCATTTGAGCTCCATACTGTTCAGAAATAATCCTTGATGTGGTTTAGAACAGGATGGCGTTTTATCACAACAGAAATTTTACTTTGGTCTCCGGTAGAAGATTTGTTTTGTATAGGTATGGCCCTACAATATATTTTTCCAATATAGCATAATAGGTTCCACTTTAAGTTTATATATTTCCCATTTTAGGCTGGTCAGTGACAGGGAGTGTATTTTCTTAAGGACTACTCAAGTTATGCTAATAATATCACAATTTATGAAACAAATAAGTCATTTTCCGACTACCCCAAACCCACAAATGAATGTGAGAATTGTATTTTATTTTGTTTATTAATATGATCCCTACAGAGTCTGAGATTATCCAGATGACGGGATCTCTGCCTGTGTTTGTGCAACAAGCTGCTGCAGCTAAATCTATACGGTATGTAACAATAATCCATTATAACTATAATATGGTCTTTTTCATAAAGTGGTGTTTAAAAAATTACATTATGTTTGAAAATAATTTATATTAATGGCTCTTGCTTTATAGTTAGTAATAGTATTTGGAATAGGATATGTATTTAATGGTGTTTAATGTGTTTAAAGCTTGCTGGCTCTGAAGACAGTCAAGAAGTTTCTCGTGAGCTTCTCTCTCTCGGAGTGATTCCAACGTCTTCTGTACGCTATGGGTAACAGGGAACACACCGATGCCCAAATACAAGCCAGTCTGGCCTTGAAGGTACATACAAGCTTTCAGACAGACATCAATTGTATTAATTTGCTCTCTCACACGCACACTTATTCTTTCTCTCTGCGTAGCACTTTGTCCGCTCATTCCCAAATATTGAGGACCATGTGCAGAGAGGCATCGGCAGCACACTGTTTGCAGTCTTAATGGTAAGCTGTAATAACTCACTGAAATATATATTACATTATTAATATATCAGTATAAACAGATTGAATCCCTGTCTTTCTACAGAACCAAGCTGACACTTTGTACATGAATATGGATGAAACGCAAGCAGCAATCCTGTTAACTAATAAGGTTAACATAACTGAAGGTAATGTTGGTATTTATAATATGATTGTTCGTCTTTTTCCTCAATTGCCTATATGTGATAATAATAACTTTTTCCTTGTTTTCTTGTATATTTTTTGCATTCCAGTTTGGTATGGGGACAACTCTGAAGGCTGAAAAAAAGTGATTCAGAAGTCAGGCAGATTATTAAATCATAACATTTGTGTAAATATTGTTAGTATGTAATTTCAAGGCAGTTAAAGTTCCCTAATTTTATTATGGAATTATTAAAACATCTTTATCAAATATGACTTTAGATGTGATTGAATGTTGAGTTGCACTATGTGATTATACATGGACAGTTTTAATACACTTCATTTATAAGTTTGCTTTACACACTTGATTCTCAGCTGTAATTTGGAGATTGTTTCCACTGTGTTTCTTAAACCATTTGCAAAAATGTTTCCTTAGTTTTTTGGGGAGTGTTATTTTTAATATGCACAAATTAAAAATGCCTCCTGTATGAAGGGTGAATAGTCAGAGGGGTGGCGAGAAAGTACACAGATCTTGTACTTGAGTAAAAGTAGAATACCAAGTGTAGGGATACTACCGTTAATAGTAATAGTGAAAATACATTTTTTAAACAATTTTTTTTCTTCTTCTAATACATAAAACCTTTAATAACAATAAATAAAAATAATAGTACAAAATACAAAAAAATAAATAATAATAAATAAAATATAACAATTCAAATTTAAAAAAATGCAAACAAATATAATAAAAACAATAAATTAAGAAAGTAAATAAAAGAAATAATAATCATACGGTATAATAAAAACAATGCAATAATTAAATAATAACAATACAATTTCCTAGGAAATATTATTAAAATATAATAATAAAAATAAAAAAACAATAATACAATATAATAATAATAATACAAAATATAATATAAAAAAAATACAATAAATAATAATACAAATAAACATCAGTAAACGACAAGGGTTGGCCAGTTTTAGAGGGACCCCCCCTTGTTGTTTTAATATAAACATTTCAAATCTTTAAATCATTTTATTTTCTTATTATTTATTTGCACAACCAGACTCACTTTGATAATAATTTAGATCTTGAGCCGCCCACCGGACATAGCGTCATATGCACGTCGTCTCTTTACTCGAAGCGGATTGGACGAGCAGCGACTGAGTCCCCGAACGTGGCGGGAGCTAACGTGAAGTAACATGAAGTGCTGTTTCTGTTTGCAGACTCATGAAATAAGTCAATACTGTACATGCAGTGTTTCAAAATGAGCAGGCTACGTTCAGCGATGACTAAAGGGAAGAGAGTCGGACTGGAGATGGTGGAAACAGCAACTCCAAAGAGGAAGAGGTCAACGACATATGTGAAAGAAGGTGGGTTTGTGTTGATGCCTCACTTATTATTATGATATACTTGTTAGAAGACAGACACTTTGGGTTCTAACTGTATCCACTTTAATATAGTGAATATGAAAACAGCTCGATGTTTGTCTGCAACATCCTGAAGTCTGCATAGAGATTGTATGGAAGAATTAACTGTACTTTTAAAATGTCAGCATTAACATGAACAGTGCACATTAAAAGCAACACTTGCATGATGTAATGCAATCCAATAACAGCCACTTATTAAATATTGCCATTTAATGTGTACATTTCTACATTATTGTAGTAACCACCATATAAGAATCATTCAACTAAGTACCTACTGAGCCCACATTAATCCTTTTAAATGTCACACTTTAACCGAGAATACATTCTGAATTATTTGTATGTATTTATTTTTTAATAGTTTTTGAACAATTTATAAATTCACAAACGTAACTCATAACAAATTATACAATGATGGCTTATTTGGAGTATCCACTTAAATAATGTTAAAAATCACAATTTCATATAAAACACCAGATAAATATACAAAAGATAAAATAAAATAATGTAAAAACAACATACAATAAGACAGGAAAATTCAATTTAAACATTTTATGGCTGTTTGTATAGAAAAGGCAAACACATTAATAAAAACAACAGATAAATGGTCTTTCATTTATTTTTTGAAGCATTTTATATTAAGCATTACCTTAAAATATACTCATGAACCAGGACAGTGGTCCTCATCCTTTTCCCTCAAGGACCCCTTCAATTGAATATTAGATCACAGAAATCCATTTGATAAGATTTTGTCTGAAGGACTCGTGATTTTGGTTGTTAGGCATAATTGAGAGCAGAGCTATATACTGTAGGTGAGGATATAACTTTTACAAAGTATAACAAAATAGACACTGCTGTATTTCCCATCACATTTTGGCTCACATATATATTGAACAAAATAGTGAAATTAAACTATTCCCTTGGGGGTCCTGGAGTGAGTTTCAAAGGGTCTGTTCAGAAAATCTATTCTTTTGATGTTTCCTCTGCATATTTGAACAACTCTGGGATTTTTGATCAATATCTCCTTTAACATCAGTGTAATCTACCTTGTTGTTAAAAGTCTGATTTGACTGAATGGCAGTGATGTTTTTGGTGTTCCAGAGGAATCCACAGACCCCTCCTCTCCTCAGTCCACGTTCCACACGTTCCCTGACCCTGCAGATGTTGAACGGCTGCGCTCTCAGCTGCTCCGCTGGTACGACCAGGAGCAGAGAGAGCTGCCCTGGAGGACTCTGGTAAACAGACACCTTCTTTCACTGGTGGACAAGAAATTTAGTATTTTAGTTCACAAAGTTCATGTGGTTTTTGTTGTATCATTAAGACCCTGGGAAGAGCTGTGGTCAGTTTGGTTCAGACATACAGTACATGTTTACTTAACGTTCATGAAAGCTGCTTTTTCATTTTCACCATATTGCTTTTATCATTGAGGTTACTTGATTTTTTTATTTCTTCTCTCTGTTTTTATCCTAAACTTAAATCAATATGCAAAAGAGTCCAAATATAATCTGTTAAATGTCCTCAATTCAACAGCATTATTTGACTTTTTCAGTTGAATTATGTTTATAAAATGTTGTGAGATTTTTAAATGTCCTTTTCTGTTATGCCATGCCTTTATAAAATTATTAATTCAATATAATATTCTACGAATCCCAAATATTGCAAAAACAATCCTTATATGAAGCTGCAGTACCCAGCCTTTGCACATGTAAAACAAATCTGACTTATTTAACTGACTCCCTTCTGGTTTTTCTCCAACAGGCGGTGACGGAGTCAGACCTCAACATCAGGACATATGCAGGTAACAAGAGGATTCCTGTCAACATTACACATCTTACACTGCTGCTGACACGGTTTATAAATCAGTTTTGTCTCTTTCTTTTCAGTGTGGGTTTCAGAAATCATGCTGCAACAGACCCAAGTTGCTACAGTAATAAACTACTACAACAAATGGATGAAGGTAGGCGTCCCTCAAGCTGTTTATGACATTAGAGTCCTAGTGATATATTTACCGTGTGCCTCACTGGGGACAAGTGTGGCATGTTTTTTTTTATCTTTTCCTTGTTTCCACTAGCGTTATTGCTGCTTTATCATCTTGTCGTATGCTAGACTGAACAAATAATCCCAATTAGGAAGAGCATTTTTCAGTCTTCTTAAGTAGGAATCAATATTGTTGCTAACCAGTGACACAAGATCAACTTTTGAAGTGAAGCACACATGTTATATGTATTACTGTGATGTACATTGCATGCATTATTTGTAATTGTACCTCTTGCTTTGATTGTGTTCCAGCGGTGGCCCACGGTGCAGGATCTTGCAACTGCTACTCTAGAGGTGATTACTAAAGCAGTCCCTGAAACTGAAGGGATTTTAGAAATGTCTTGATTTTAATTTAAATGTAATAATTTCCTTTATTTGTAGGAAGTGAACCAGATGTGGGCGGGTCTTGGCTACTACTCCAGAGGAAGACGACTGCATGAAGGAGCTCAAAAGGTCTGTGTTGTGTTTTTTATATCAAACATTTGCATCATCATAGCCTAAAACATTCTGCATTCAGTCTAAACTTAGTGCAAATATTTATAAAAAGGCATACTCTTAAAGTGCTGTTATGACTCGGTATGAAATATTGAATGTTGTTCATTGTCTCTCCTTGTTGTTAGGTGGTGTCGGAGCTGAAGGGCCAGATGCCTCGCACCGTGGACAGTCTGCTGAAGCAGCTTCCTGGAGTGGGGCGCTACACCGCTGCAGCCGTGGGCTCGATAGCACTGGGTCAGGTGTGCTTCAGATACGCCTACTTTTTCCTATTTATTGTAATAGTTTACAACTGTGTCACCTTGAGTCTGTTAGAGCATGATTTCTGAAATCCACACTTAAAAAAGGGTAGAAAACGGTCTTAAAGTCTTTCAGCAGATGTGTAATTTCCTCACAAATTATCTTACTCATTCCTGATGTTGAGATCTGACTCTAAAAAGCAGTCAGTAAAGTCAGGATGGTTTTCCTGGCATAACAGGAGAGACTTTACATCTTAAAACATTGTATTATTATATTCCAACTGAAAAAGTCAAATACTGTTGGATGTAATTGGTTTGGAAATAAAAAAATTGTATTTTGAAAGTGTTGCCTAGCCCTAGTATAGTTAACTGTGGCTATGTGATTCCTGTTTTTGGTTGTTTTGATTTTAGGATATATAGAGAAACAAAACAAGAATTTAAAAACTCTAATGAAACCATAAAATACGGTCGTCCAATGCAACTAATAGTGTTACTACCTCGTTTATCATTGACGACTGAAAATATCTCTGTTGCCTAGGTAACCGGAGCAGTGGATGGCAACTTGATTCGGGTGCTGTGTCGCCTGCGGGCCGTCGGCGCTGACAGCACCAGTTCTGCAGTGACAGAGGCTCTCTGGTGAGTGTGATGGAAACTTCTGAAGCAATGGAGACTCGGAGAGACACGGAGAGAGCAGGAACTCTGATGGCAAAACACTGATGGTTTATTTGGAGCTTCAGGCCGGAGAATTCACAAGACATGTTCTGTGCCATGAGGTGTCATAGCGGTTGCCAAACCAATTCTGAAGATCTCTACCCCAGACCCCTGGTTCTGAGAGAATAATCAACATTGTGCATAACAAGATAAAACAATAACACCTCTATCAGCTGACGCCAACAGGCAGGAACAGGGAGACAAAACACTGAGAGCAAAGCACCCAAGGCTACAGGTTCCTGTACTCAGTGAGGGCAGTAACACATAACTACACTGTAGCTACTGTATGCACACATGACAATAAAAGCCTTGAAACTTGAATCTACAAACTGATAAACTGGGTCAAAGTTATGGGCCTAGGAAAATATTTCCCCAACAGTGAGACTAAACTTCAAACTAATATCCTCAAGTATGATGAACTCTGACCTCGATCCGAGCCATTACCTGTTTTAAAGAAGTGGGCGAGGTCACCGTGTCGTCACACATCGTTTTTTGGAATATGATTTGGACATTTTGGCAAACTTGCAATTCGCTTTCATGAGCTGAAAACACTGTTATCGTTTTAAGTCCCTCAAACCGGACAACACTGTGGTAGCAACCAGTTAATCACATGGTAGCCTCGCAGCTGTTACAAAATAAGCATCATGCGGTATAACAAAACACCTGAAAGTAGCGATTGAGACCTTGAAATGCATTAGAATAATGTTTACTGAAGTGATCAATTAAATCAGAAGTGTTATTAAAACGTTGTCTTTTGTGTAAACTCTGTGAACCCCACAGTGAACTTTCACCTAATTTCTTTCGGTATAATTTCGGTAATCTGTCTCATGTTTGTCATCTCTGACGTCAGTTTGATTTGACTCCCTTTGTTGATAAGATAAAACATGAGAGGAAAGTATGCTGGCCTCCCCTGTGTTCCTACCACTGTCATACTTTGTGTATTACTGAAATACAGATACATGTAATCTTTGTCAGATATCTTGCTTCACCTGCTGAAGCTTTATCTCTGCATTCAGCTGAAAACGGATTATGTTAAACCTCCTTTAGGCAATAGATAAGAAAACACAGAAGAACATCTATTTATTTTATTGTTGACTCGTGTTGAATATTCACAACAAGAAAAAGGTTCATTTTTTAAGCGACTTCTTTTTGTAACCTGTGGAGTCCCTCCTTGCCAACTATACATCTTCGTTATGATCTTCTATTATACCTGGAGTTTGATATGTTTTTTCTTTCTGCTTTCTTTCAGGAGTTTAGCAAATACTCTGGTGGACCCTGAGAGGCCCGGGGACTTTAACCAGGCCATGATGGAGCTGGGGGCCCGAGTCTGCACCCCCAAGCGCCCGCTGTGCAGCCGGTGTCCCGTTCAGTCGCACTGCCACTCCTACCACAAGGTTAGAAGGATCCAGATGTTGATAGTTTTACTTGAATGCAGAACAGAGTATGTGGTGGCGTTTTAATCCTTGTCTACATTTAATAGCCACCTCTGTCGGGGGTTGTGGGTTTTGACGCGCCTCTCTTTGTTTCCAAACAAATGGAGCAGGGAGATCGTTGTTGAATCAGGTCAGCTTTATTAATTGATCCAAACTGCATACAAACAGGAAGACCCATTTCCTCGCTTCATAGTAAGTTATCAGTATCCCAAAAAGAACACGGTCAAAAGACTTTACCGCTTCCCCGTCTCATCACAATCAGCTGTGTCCTATTAACCTACCATATATAGGCATTTAGCCATGCACGTGATACTGACGCACATTTGATAACAAATGAGTGAGCCTTAAATGAATATCTTTTAAACCAGTGTGACCGACAAAAATACATGATTAATTAAGAGTTTAATCTAAATCCTTATATTATTATTAAGGCTAACATTCAGACCATAATAATGAAATGAAAATGGCTATAACAAAGTATTTCTACACTGTATTATTACTTATTCTACTTGGGTAAATGATATGCGTACTTTTTCTACCACTGCATACATAAATCAAAATGAAAAGTAAAGTTTGTGCTTCCGTTTGTTAAATTAAAGAAGTCATAATATAGAATATTTATGTTATTTATCATCAGAGGTGGGAAGTAGTGGAGTACAAACACTTCGTTACTGTACTTAAGTACATTTTTCTGGTACTTTACTCCACTACTTAATTTACTGACGACTTTTTATTTTTACTTCTTACATTTTAAACACAAATACCTGTACTTTCTACTTCTTACATTTCCCAAACAGGCTGGTTCCTTTAGTTTGAATGTGTGTTTGGTGGCGTGATCATTATTATTTAGAGTCATTGCGTGCCTATTGATTTGAACACGATCCGTGTATCCATCATTTCCTGGTCTTCTCTAAAGAAGAGGGACCAATGAAAACGTTGTCATGTTGCCGTTGTTTAGCATGGAAACATTCATTAGCTAACAATGACATTATTGTTCTATTAATATAAAGGGAGGTCAGGTACTCTTTAAAACAGCTGGTAGTTATGGGTACTTTTTACTTAAGTACATTTCAAAGCCCTCTTTACTTTTACTTGAGTAAAGAAGTTTAGTCAATACTTCTACTTTTACCAGAGTATTTTTAAACACGAGTATCTGTACTTGAGTAAAGGATGTGTGTACTTTGGCCATCTCTGTTTATCATAGTGAAAAGGTGAACAATTGCTCATTTAATTTGCAGGTTCATGTCAAACAAGAGAAGAACTCCAGGAAGCTGCAGGGGAAGCAGGACAGGAAGCCGGCCAGCCTGCCTGACATAGAGGACTGTGGTGAGTGTCCTCTTCCCCCCCTCAGACCCCTTCATGTGGTCATGATATTATAGAAGTTGTGAAAGACTAACCATTTCTATCTTTGACTACACATAGTGTGTTGTTTAGTGACGCACCTAAACTACTCTAACAGGAAACAGTTTGAAACAGTTACTCTTAACATTCTAGTAACACAGTGACTCTGTCCAACTGTTAGTACATTTAAAACAGTCATTAAAAAGCTGATAAAATAAAAATCAAACTCGCAAAAAATGAATAATACAGGTTTACAATACAGGAGTAAAAGTTACAGTGCACTGTGAGATATGAACAGTTATTGGATTTATTCAAAGGCAGCGGCAAAAAGAACAGCCAGGATTTAAAAGTAGTGAGAGTTGCAGTTTCCTGGGAGTTTGCTCCAGATATATTCTGGGTTCTGGATGGCTCATAATGTACCGTGTATCTCAAAGTACCTTCGCTTCTCCACTCAGCGAACAGCGGGACGTGTCCTCTCTGTCCCTCGGAGCCCTGGGACGATGCGCTGGACGTTCAGAACTTCCCCAGGAAGCCGGCGAAGAAGCCGCCTCGAGTCGAGCGAACTCTGACCTGTGTGGTGATCCGACCTGGAGAGGGGGGCGAGGACGAGTTCCTGCTCACACAGAGGCCCAACAAAGGTCTGTGAAGGGTCTTCAGTCTGATAATAAAATTAAACACTGATCTCACTTCCCTTTTTGAATCAACCAAAAAAAGGCAGATGTGAACAGAAAGCTTTAGGTCCAGTTCTTGTAGAATTAATTCATTTGGCTGTTTTTGTTTTTATTATTTACATCGGTGTTCATTTTTTATAATGGGATTTGAAGATTTTAGTTCAACTTTAGCTCAGTTACACTTAAAAAAATAAAAAATAAACAAATGCAGTGATGGAAAGTAACTAGGTATATTTACTTAAGTACTGTACTGCAATAAAATAGTGATGTACTTTCCATTTTCTGCCACTTTATACTTCTACTCCACTACAAATAGAGGGTTACAATTGTGCTATTTACACACCTGCGATTGTTTGATAACTTTAAATACTTTGTGGATTCACATTTATAATAGAAAATATAATCAACAAATAAATCATGTCATTTTTAAGGTTTATCTGCAAGCGAGAAATTCACAAGCTGACCTTCACTATCTGCAACATTAAAGTGTTGTGTGTGTGTGTGTGTGTGTGTGTGTGTGTGTGTGTGTGTGTGTGTGTGTGTGTGTGTGTGTGTGTGTGTGTGTGTGTGTGTGTGTGTGTGTGTGTGTGTGTGTGTGTGTGTGTGTGTGTGTGTGTGTGTGTGTGTGTGTGTGTGTGTGTTACAGGTTTGCTTGCAGGTTTATGGGAGTTTCCAAATCTCCTGCTGGAGGAGAAGAGCTCTGATCTGAAACAGAGGAGAGCGCTGTGTGCTCAGATCAGCGGGAAACTGGGAACCCATCTGACAGAAAACCTCCTCCAGTATGTGGGAGAGGTACGCCTGAAGTTCACCACTTATACATATTTATTATTGAATGCAAATAAAGTATTTCTGCAGCTCTGTAACTACCCTTTGATGGATCATTGGCTACCTGCAGGTGGTTCACATCTTCTCCCACATCCACCAGACATACGTGGTCCACAGTGTGTGTTTGAAGGATGCTGACACACACACTCACACTGAAAACGCTCGGTGGCTCAGCCGGTCCGCCCTGCAGGAAGCTGCTGTGTCCACAGGAGTGAAAAAGGTTTGTAATTTGTTTACACAGTTTGTGTGTTCAGCCCCACTGTGTAACTGATAGATTACAGAAAACATGTTTTTCTGGTGTGTAAAGACAATTGTTTTTCTGTTACAAGGATTTCAGTGATTTTAACTGAAATGTTCCCCCGATATCATGCTGCTATTTGGAGCTGTAGTTAGTAAAAAAACGTCTTAACCAGTGTTATGACCTGGCTCAAAAGGCCACAACAAAGAGGAGACGCACCATTTATTAAAGCAAGTGGTTCAAATTAGCCAAATTAATTAAGTGCAAAGCAAGTAAAGCATGAGGTGTGGATGTCAGTGGTATCAGTAGTGTAAATGCAGGGTGAGGATTGCATGGACATGTATGAGTGTGAGAGTGTTGAAGTGCACAAAGTGAAGCTACTGAAGAAACTCATAGCATACTCAACCGAAACCGGGTGCATATAGGAGAAAGCAGAGGGCACCTGCACCAGACCCAGGTGCCCTGAGTTACTGCAATCAAGACAGCACAGCCACACCCTATCTAGATGAACCCACAGGGGCATCACACCAGTAAAAGGACATCTTGCCTTTTATTGTGATTATTACAGTGAGTTTCGGAAATGTAAAGGGAAGTTGTAGTTGTTGCGTTTGTTTCAGGAAGTTGTCACAGCACGAGTGTCCACATCTATGTGCACTCTGAATAAATGGGATAAACATCAATGTTTACTCTCCTGCAGATTGTAAAGCTTTATGATTCTGTGGACGGTCAAAAAGAACAAAACTCTAAGGTAAGTAAACGTCTGTATATATAATTCATCACAAATGATCTTATTCTATAATCCTAGATTCCACCTTTATCGTTTTGTTTCTACTGGTCTCACTCAGGATGGGAAGAGGCAGAGGCACACCGGCACAAAGAATGACAAGAAACCAAATTCCTCCAAAAAAGCCAAAGTGAGCTCAGCTACCAGCGGCGGCAGACAGCTCTCTCTCAGCTCCTTCTTCAACAAGGTCAAAGAGGAGCCTTGAGGGGTTTGAGTGTCAAAGTCTTCCATGGTGCCTTATCAGGAAACATGTGTCTTTTTAATATCAACGCATCAGCACTACAGTGTGTTGCCATATTGGTTTCATTGTGGTCCTATCACTGGGATTGAAATACAAAATGCCATCATGTTTTTTAAACTTTAAAAGGTTTATGTTCCTGAAGGGACTTTATTTTTATTGACTTTATTATAGATAATGTTTTTATCAGTATATTGTATAGTCCTCATGTTTTTCCAACAGTATGTAAGTTCACTGTCATGTTTATTATCACAATAAAAAAGATTTCATGTCCAACAAATGCACATAAACTGTTCATCTTCTGATTGCTTTGCATTTATTTTTATAGAAGAATGTCCATATCTACATTAATCATTTGATGGACAAGAGAGTGATTCTTTTTAAATCAGCAATTCTGAATACTAATCCAATCATATTATTCTGCATAATGTGTACTTTCACTTTACGAACTCATAGTATATATTTGATGGTAATACTTTCATACTATATTTGATGGTAATACTTGCATACTCTTACTTGAGTATCTTGTAAAACAGTATTTCTTCAGTGAAGTCTTGGTTCTTCTACTTGAGTAAATGATCCGAGTACTTCTTCCATCACTTTATATACAAATAAAAAGTTAATAAATAATTTAATAAATAAAAAGTCACAGTGTAGTATGTCGGAAAAATTCTAACATTCAAAGTCAAAAAGTAATAAAAAAATATGTCATAAAAGGTCATAGTAAAGTTTATCATAAAAACAAGTTGTACAGTAAAAGATTCATTGTATAGCCTGTCAGTAAAAAAGTGTCGTATAGTATTGTATTCTATACAAAACGTAATGCCAAAGGTCATTCATAAGTATGTCGTAGTAAAGTATAACATAAAAAGTGCTTAAAAAAAATTACAAATACAAGTGCTTGTAGTTCATGAAAAATGTTTGTTTTTCACCAGACAATAATAATGCTTCTACTACTACTACTACTTATAATAATAATGATTAAATAAAATAATAATAATAAACATAATGAAAGGGAACAGCGCCCCCTGCTGTGCTGATGGTGTAACAACCGAGTGTTTTTGTGGGGGGAAATCATGATAAAAGAGGAAAAACCGGAAGTGGTTCAAGTCTTGCCAGCACTTTTATCCGTTGTCTTTTACAGTTGAATTGATTGTGTTGCTGTGATTTGTATTTTCCTGATGTGTATTGGAGTCTCCTCAGCAGAGGTGTGTGTGGAGCTCCGTCTGTCACTCATTCATCGCAGGTCATCGGGTCTTCAGGCTGAACTTTGCTAAAACTCACCGGCAGACAGCGGCCAAAGGTTCTGCAACGTGCTCCCTGAAGTTTCATATTGAAAAACTGCGAGGTGTGCAGCAGGGAGCTTTACCGTTATATGTTACCGATTTTATCGTCTTATTTTTATCATTAACTTTTTGTATGTTCCAGATGGCTTCTGCATGGCAAAGTGCCCTGTCTCTGCACCAGAGGATAGTAGACAATGGAGGTATGAGGATTTGTGTTATTATCTAAAAGCCTACAGTTAATTTTTCTCTGGGTGTCCAGCAAACTAAAATAATTTCTCTAAGTTGACGAAGAGATTCCCAGTTTACACAACAAGGCTGTCTCTGTCTGTCTGTCTGTCTGTCTGTCTGTCTGTCTGTCTGTCTGTCTGTGTGTGTGTGTGTTGCAGATGCTCAGCTTGTCTTCACAATGACTTCTTTGTGGCATGTCACATGACAATCCCACTCCCACGTGTTAAACGTTATTAGCTTGTAACTCCTGTATGTTGTGGACATACAGGAATAGGATTGACAGGGAGTATAATGTATTGTCAGATGAATACTCCCTCTAATGTTCCTCAATTGCTCACTTATAAATGTGTCATTTTGAGAAGAATATACACACAACAGGTTCTCTGAGCTAAACTCAAACAAGACAAACCTGTACAAAACTGGCTTTCCTGTACAGATTAAAGGGGCCCCATTATGCAAGGTCAGGTTCATGTTTGTAATTTGTGCCTCTATTGTGACTTGTTAACATTCTGTATGTCCTCTTTTCACATTCTGTTTGCTTAGAGAAGTCCTGCCCCTTAGTTTATCATGTTGAATATATTTGAGTGCTAGCAAATAGAAGCATGGGTGTTACATAGTGATGTCATTATTTCCCAGAAGTAAACAAAGGAGTCCAATGGAGGCGTTTCAGACAGGGGGAGGGGGAGTGTGTGGGAGGCAAACTCCCTCTGGAGGGAACAGGGCATTTCCACCATGGCGCGGTTTAAGCGTGCCGTGTCGTGCCGGGCCCGTTTTTGGTTGCGCTTCCACTAGGCCTAGTTCCGGCCCGGGGGTACTTTTTCACCTCTTTTCTGGCCCGACAAAATCGTGGTTCTATCGGGGCCAACAAACAGGGCTGAGTATGCTAAACTAGAGAGAGAATCGCTGGCAAGGGTGCTACAACTACAACAAGATGAACATATTTGACCGTGATTTAATTGTAATACACGTTTCAAAATGATGCCGAAGTAACAACATACTGTTACCGGTTAGTAAAAACCATGAATTAATGCTTTGACAAAGTCTGCAGACAGACGGCAGGCGAAAAAACCTTTTAAAATGCGTGTTTTCTAAATGGAGATTGGCTAAGCTAACGCAATATATGCTCCGACCGTCCACACTCACAACGGCCTATACAGACATAAATAAACCAGCGACTGTATTCGCCATGACACAGACAGTCTGTGGTTTGTACTTGTTTAACTTTTGTCTAGTTTCTGAACAGATATGAGGAGCTGTGAGCTTGAGGGCTAACAGCTAACGGCTGTGTTGTTTTTCTGGGGTTCTCATTGAAGATGACGTCACGGCTCCGCCTACACTGCGTTACTATAGTAACTACCCCAGTTCCTAAACTGTAATGGAAGCGCAGCATGAAGTGAGCCGGCCCTAACAAGGCCCAACGCGGCCTAGCAGTACCGAGCGAGGCCGAGGCCGACCGTGTGGTGGAAATGCGCCATTAGATATATTAACCTTTGCAGACCATTTACATGCACACAAACATATAACACACTACAGGAAAGGAATCAAATCCCGAAAAGCATTATAGGCCTTCTTTATTTATTTGCTAAATGGTCCTTTCTTGTGTTTTAGACAAGAGGACAGACCCGTGGCTGCTGGTCTACTCCCCGGTCCCCGTGGCCATCATCTTCCTGCTGTACCTGTGTATGGTGTGGGCCGGCCCTCGTCTGATGAAACACAGAGAGCCCCTCGACCTCAAAGGCATCCTCATCGTCTACAACTTCTCCATGGTCGGCCTGTCAGGATACATGTTCTATGAGGTGTGTTTAGGTCAATCATGAGCACAGTGGTGATGGAAAATACATTTCTGTTCTTTGATATAAATGGTGATCCTGCTAGTGTGTGAAGTTATAGTATGAATATTTCCCAGTTCCTGGTCACATCCTGGCTCTCGAACTACAGCTACCTCTGCCAGCCGGTAGATTACAGCAACAGCCCTCTGGCAGTGAGGGTAAGGAAGTGTCTCCATACACACATTCACTCACTTTAATTTGTACGCAGACGTTTAATCTTTCACAAGCTACATATGGAACATCATTACAGAAACCAAATTCAACTAGACAGCTGACTTTTGTTCAATTTGAAAGATAAAACATGCATTTACCTTTTTCTCAAAGTTAAAAATATGTAAATCGCACCTTTCTCCATTGTTTCCTTCCTCCAGATGGCCAGAGCCTGCTGGTGGTTCTTCTTCTCTAAGGTCATAGAGCTCAGTGACACGGTGGGTATTCAAAAAAGGAAGAAGTTTCTGCTATCAATTCAGACGTCAGAGTTGAAATGGTGAAACATATAATCTCTGTGAGCAGCTCTTCTTCATCCTGAGGAAGAAGAACAGCCAGCTGACCTTCCTCCACATTTACCACCACGCTACCATGGTCTTCAACTGGTGGTCCGGAGTCAAGTATTTGGCTGGAGGACAATGTAAGTCAACAACAGCTGTAAATAAATATATAAACAGATATTTGTATGACTTGGTGAAGGGACATTTTAAAGAGCAGTAGTGATATTCTATATTGTTATTATCATTTACAATTCTAATGAAAATATAAAAACTTAACAAGCATTAAATGTGTAATGAAGCCAAATCCTGTTATTCTACTGTTTTGTGTATAAAAACACATACATGAGCCATCCTGTTGCCCTGGGTGACGTATTCCTATTCAGGCATTGTAGTCTACTTTGAATTAATCCCACATTACCGGTAACGGATAGCCGTAAATGTGTATTATTCCACAGGCAATCAGAAAATATTTAACAAATAATAATTGTTCTGTGACTCCTGAAGATTATTATGTATGTTCTAGTAGTCTAATGCTATCTGGTCTATTGTATAGATGATTTTACCATGGTGTATATTAAAAGCTCAATTAATGGAGCCGATTACTGAAAGTAATATAGAGATACAATAAGTATAATGATACAGGGGTTACGGTTCAACATATTGCAATAAACTGCAATACTGCAAGCACATTGAAAAAATAAAATGTAAGGAAAACAGACGTCATCTGAAGTACACACTGCCTTATGCATAACATCTGAGTAAAACACTATTATAAATTCATAACAGTTACCACAGATCCTGTAACATCCAACATCCTATCGTACTGTATATTGTTTTCTGCAATCTGAGCCACTGTCTGCGACATGTCTTTGCATCCAAACCGTTAATGAACTTTTTAAAAACTTTTTTTAATCCATGAGGTATCTCAAAACATAACATGATACAAAAATGAATTCATATTTACTTACATCCCTCACACTGTCCAATGCTCTATACATAAACGGTTAAACTGATAAACTCGGTAACCTTTTTATCTATTTGCATCTTTCTACGTGTGTCAGCTGCCGGTCATAAACATTCTTAACATACCCAACTCAATTGCTATCAGTCGGATGATTTATCTATAATGAATGAAACCCATTTCTTACTGCCGCTCTGAATGCATCCCTCTGTTTTCCTCGCGCAGCGTTCTTCATCGGCCTGATCAACACCTTCGTCCACGTGGTGATGTACTCTTACTACGGCCTGGCTGCCATCGGCCCTCACATGCAGAAGTACCTGTGGTGGAAGAGATACCTGACGTCTCTGCAGCTCGTGAGTAATCTCTGATCTAAATGAGAAGAATGTGACTGCTCTGACGATATGTTTGTGAGCTAATCTGATCTGAACTTTTCCCCTCCAACAGGTGCAGTTCGTGCTGTTCCTCCTGCACACCGGCTACAACCTGTTCGCAGACTGCGACTTCCCCGACGCCATGAACATGGTGGTGTTCGGCTACTGCGTCACCCTCATCGTCCTCTTCAGTAACTTCTATTATCAGAGCTACCTCAGCAAGAAGAAGCAGAAATAAGACGCAGTGGTGAGGTATTGTAAGGATTTGTATCCTGTGTCTGCAATACTCACTTATCTCCACTAGACAGAACAACATACTGACATTTTTCCTCATGGTGCTACAAACTAATATACACTTGAAAATACCGTAGGTTGGTTTCTTCACACTGTTGAAGAAATAAAGAGAGATGGATAGTTAAGCTATACGGTCACACTTGATCGTTTACTTTTATACCGACATGTTCAACTAATGTGAAGCATTAGTGCATTTTGTATGTTTTCTATCAATTGTCAACAGGACTAGTGTGAAGTCAAGTATATGGCTAGACCTGTGTATGTTTAATTTACTCAATTTTGGGCCAGTGTTTACAGTGGAGGTCAGTGGAGGTGTCTATAACTTTAATTCCTGCATTTTGAATGTTTTCTGTAATGGTCCCAGTTCTGTTTGCTCTCAAAGTGTACTGAGGTAGCGTATCATGTGACATGGTTAAGCTGCATTTGAGGCAAATAATGGGGGACTGCTCTATTGTAATAAATTCAACAATATAACATTGCTATTTTAACATTTATTTTTTCCTTGGTTACTCATAAGTTGTTTTATGCTAATTCAGTCACTTAAAACACCTTGGTGAGGCAGTGGTTTGTATTACTTTCTTAAACCGGCTGCATCCCATTACGATTATGGGCAAAAAGCATCAAATATAGGTCTAAAGGAAAACGTGGCAACATACATTGGTTTTCTCGAGTAATGCTATTGCTTATAATATATTTTTTGGGTCACTTTGCAACATCTGAAAAGAGACTACAGATAATAAAAGGCCTCTTGGCTAACCGGCGCAATTGGAGCATTTTTTTAATGTGCACTGTACCTGTCGACTAAAATAATTAATAAATACAATTCCAACAGTCTTTTATTTATATAAAAATATTTATTTTATTTTATTTGAGAAGGGACAATGCAGATTCATTAACATGAGCGCTCGAGTCCATCATGTGAATGTGCCAGATTTAGCCAAACAGGCGAATTTTCATATGCAGTCTCTGGCAGGTTGATGGCATTAAAAGAAACTTTCAAGAGCACACAAGCATGAGCAGGAATAAAACACACGAGCACAGTTGACTCACGATTGCACTACATACAAAGCACATATGCCCGATTATAACTTCACAAGCATTTGGAGAGCAAGACACTTAACCAGGTTAATAAGTAACTGCAATATTCATAGACAAGCATACACTTGACATCTTTACTGGTATATTCTCCTCTGCTCTGATACTCTCTCTTGGTCACACACTATGCACACACTAAGCTTTATAAGAAATGCGTCACATGTATCAACAACCTAAACACATAGGATTTAAACTGCATGTTTGAAAATACATTTACAGGAAAATATTAATCAAGAGAAATATAACTGACACCATAAATGTGATATTTCAGATCTCCTCCTGGTCAAAGATTAACAAACTCTGCAATAACTGCTGCGTGTTGATTGAGGAAGTAGATCAGATGATCGAGCTGAAATATGTCCACAAAGGTCATGTGATCACTTTTAAATGTGTCTTTATATTGAGCAATGACAAACTTTGAAATGACTGCTGTAAATAACCGTACAAAGTATAATGCAGTAGGCTGGATTCTTCACATTATTGCAGAGTTGAGGAGTTCCAACCAGAAAAGAGATTCCTCCTAAACAACAAAATACAGAAATGCAAAGAGCTTTTTTTTCCACAGCTATAACAAGATTGCATTGTGAGATTATTTTATACATTTCAGTTGCGTGATTTTAGATGTAACACTCGGAGAGGACATTTCATTTCCATTCAGAAGTTTTGCCGTATTTGTTTTTATGCGTTTGCCAAACACGTTGAAGTTAGCACAAAGACACGCAGCTCCTTTTTCTGCAATGGAAACTCACTCCTGAATGCACTGATTGAGTTTTAGATCATTTGAAAGGCAGTAGTAGATGTAATTAGAGTTATTAGTAGTCGATGTAGTTGATTGATTCCTATTTTATATATCATAAATCTGATTGAAGAAGTACCTGTGTGTCTAATCTCTTTTAACACTACAAGTGACATACAATAAGAGCACCCAAACATGGAGATACAATCTCAGAACAGCAGGGATCCTGCAGGTACTTCAGTTTCAATTAATAAAACCATAGTATGTGCTAATGCGTTGGCTTCAAAAGAGACACAACTTTCTATGATCTATGTACAGAGGTGAGATGTTTTGTTATTATAATCTTTTTGTTGCATTTTGTATTATTATTATTTATTGGCCAAGGTGCAGTCGAAACAGTTCGGTTTTTAGTATAGTACACAAGAGGTTTTTTTTTTACTGCATACTATACTGGTACTACTTACAAATATATTTCTTAAGTGCATACTTTGACTTTTTCTAATTCACTATTATGACAATAATAATAATAATAATAATAATAATAGTTATTTTTTATAATTATTCTAACTATCATTATAATTTGTGTTTTTTATTTAATTTTTTATTTTATTATTATACTTTTTTTTAATGGCCAAGTTGCAGTCGAAACAGTTGTTTATTCAGTCTGGTGGACAAGAGGGTGTTTTGCAACAAATGCAAAGTGAATCCCCAAACGGAAAGTGGGTCAGTGTTCTGCGGGAAACAGCGCCCCCTGCTGTGTGACATCCATAACAACAGAATGAACTCGTAAAAGAAAAAAAAGAAAAAAAAAGCCGAAGCGGAGACAATCAGGAAGTGATTCAAATCGGCTCCGTACTTTTTTCCACTCTCTTGCATTTGGAGCTAGGCGTGTGCTGCGAGTTTCTGTCGGATCAGTTCGGACTCTCCGCGTGCTTCTGGGGCCGCAGCTCGCTCAAACTCTCTCCATTCATTGAGAGCAGGAAGACATCTGGATCAGCTGCTGCGCCTGGAGCTGAAGTTTGCCGACTCTTATCCTCCATAAAGTGACATCAGGTGGTCCCTCCATTCCGCCGGTTTAACGCCCCGTTGCAAGGTGTGTATCCTCAGTGAGTGGATGTGTGTTTAAATGCTTCAGATTGGGGTGTTTTTGAAATGTTTTGTAATGATTTACTTTATTTTGGAGTCTAGATGGCCTCTGCGTGGCAAAGCGTCCTGTCTGTTCACCAGAAGATGGTGGAACATGGAGGTATGTAGTGATATCGTTTCCCACATAAAGACTACAGTTCAGTAAAAACAACAAGCCTGTGTTCATTGTGTGTGTGTGTGTGTGTCTGTCTCTCTCTGTGTGTGTGTGTGTGTGTGTGTGTGTGTGTGTGTGTGTGTGGGAGTTTGGAGCTGCAAATGTGTTTCCCTGTTTGTCCTCACAATGACTGCTTTGTGGCTTGTCACACGGTTAGCCACCAAGACCAAAAACTGCCTTTTTGTATTTTTACGTTTCCAGTTTTCTTTATGAGATTTTGGTTCATTCACTAAAACACACACACACACACAGGTCATCTGAGCTGACCTGGAAGAAGAATTGTCATTTCCTGTAGAAACGAAAATAAATCAATGCAGCTCTCACAACTTGTAACTATAATCAGACATGTGTCCAGTAGTATTGTATATCATGATATTTTGACTTGGTTAACATGACCATACACACAATTTGTCATCTGAGTTGAGAAAGACAGACTTCCTGTGGAGATTACGTAAAAATCAGTACTGGAATTTGGTCAAATTTATAAGGCAACTCTTGAAACCTCAATAATAGTTCTGTAACTCTTGCTAGAGGTGTATCCTGTGATATATGTATTTGAAATAGTGGTCAATATGTGTGAATACTTGTCTACCTGAGCAGGTGGCACCTTGTATAGCAGCCTCTGCCTCTGAATGAATGGGTTGTTTAAGGGAAAGCGATTAGCGGGGTTGTAAAGACTGTAAAGACTGTAAAGACTGTAAAAGCACTGTAAAAATGGACGTCCATTTACCATGTTCCAGATAAGCGTACGGATGCGTGGCTGCTGGTCTACTCCCCGGTCCCCGTGGCCATCATCTTCCTGCTGTACCTGTGTGTGGTGTGGGCCGGCCCTCGTCTGATGAAACACAGAGAGCCCCTCGACCTCAAAGGCATCCTCATTGTCTACAACTTCTCCATGGTCGGCCTGTCAGGATACATGTTCTATGAGGTGTGTTTGACCCGCTTTGTGTACTGTTTTAGAAAATAAACCAGGTCACTCATGAGGAAAGAGATCATGGAAAATAAATGTCTGTTCTTTGATATAAATGGTGATCTTGCTAGTGTTTAATGTGAAGTTATTGTATGGATAAACCAGATCACTCATGAGCACAGTGATCATGGAAATAGTGGAAATGTCTGTTATATAATATATCTGGTGATCTCTGTGGTGTTTAATGTCATTTCATGTTATGAATATTTCCCAGTTCCTGGTCACATCCTGGCTCTCGAACTACAGCTACCTCTGTCAGCCGGTAGATTACAGCAACAGCCCGCTGGCAGTGAGGGTAAGGAAGGTTCTAATACACACATTCACTCATTTTAATGTGTACACACACATTTAATCTTTCACAATCTAAACGTCATTTATAGTAAGATAATCTACTACAGTGTGAATAATTAGTTAAACTCACCTATTTCTGTTGTTTCCTTCCTCCAGATGGCCAAAGCCTGCTGGTGGTTCTTCTTCTCAAAGGTCATAGAGCTCAGTGACACGGTGCGTATTTAAATCACATATTTTGTATTGTATCATAAGTAAAATAAAGAATTGAAATGACTCAAATTCTCCATCTTTGAGCAGCTCTTCTTCATCCTGAGGAAGAAGAACCGGCAGCTGACGTTCCTCCACACTTTCCACCACGGACCCCTGATGTTCAACTGGTGGGCGGGAATCAAGTTTGTGGCTGGAGGACAATGTAAGTCAACTTTTTTATTCATTTACTGTCAATGACATTTACAAAACACTTGACCTTGTGGATGTGGATAGATCTGGTGATATTCTATATGTTACTTACCATCAAAAAAAGCCACAAAAAGACCAAAACCAACAAGAAATTATCCTTTAACAACCATTAGCCTTAAAACAGTACCTAATATGTGCCGAAACAACACTTTAAATGTTGCTATTCAAGGTCTAAAAATGTGTTAAAATGTCTGAAAACGTGTTACATGAAGGTCAGGTTCTGCCAGGTCTGTATTGTTCAGTGTCTCCTTTAATCTCCGGCCCCCGGGGGCCTCTGAGCTGTTTCCCGTCGTCACTTTGTGTCTTGTTCTTCCAGACTGGCTTCCTCGAGGCACATGTAGTTTTGTCACCCTGTGTTAAAGGACATGTGTTGTGACATACTATGGCATTTTTAAATTACTTTTCAATGACCATTTTGAGCTAATATACTATGGCTCTTTCTTGACCTGCTTCACTACGAGTACTTGTTTTAGTCATTTCTGTGCATTTTTTGAATTTCCGCTCTTGAGGAATGTAAACACCGGCCTAAAACAAAGGAGGCGCTCCTCCCTCTCCCTGCAGCGGTCACTCCCAGGCGTTCGGGGGGGGGGCCTCAGAGCCGCTGCACTTCAAATAGTCCCACGCTCACATCAAGTGAAGATGACTGTACCGCTGTCCGGTTAATATCTACATTTAATCACCTGATAGATACTTTTTTATTATATTTTTTATGAACGGCGATACTATCACTTTCTTTTTTTACTACATACTACTCTGTGACTTTTTTTAAATCATATTTTTATGAATGACTATATATTATGACTTTTTGCTACATACTATACTGTGACCTTTTTAATTATATATTTATACTGTGACTTATTTAATTACCTTTTTATTAAATGCTACAAAATATGACTATTTTACTAGATACTAAACTATGACTTTTTTATTACTTACTATACCGAGACCTTTTAAAAAAAAATTCTTTTAATTTACTACTACAGTATATACTATGATTTTTTTTTTTTTTTACTACATGCGTACTGTGACTTTTTTTTTATTATATATTTTTGTATTAAATACTATTACTTTTTATTCTCAACTGTTACTTTTAAAATGAATGACTTGTGACACATATGTATTTAATACTAGATAGACAGATTGATAGTTACATTAGATTACTGTACATGTCACTTGTTCGACGCTTTTATCCAAAGCGACTTACATACTCAATACTGTGGGCAATCCCCACAGGAGCAATTTGGGGTGAAGTGTCTTGCCCAGGGACACAACGACATGCTGACTGCAGTGGGGTTTGAACCTGTGCTCCCCTGATCCGAACACCAACGCACTAGTCCACTGTGCCACACGCCTCCTAGATAGATAGATATATACTTTATTTATCCCAAATTGGGAACTTATTTAAATATATATTAGATGGAATAAGCTCCGCCCCTAGCAGGCAGTGATCCTCCTGATAAGATGGACTCCATGCCCTCTGACAGTATGTCAGCTCTGTCCTGTTGTCCTCTGGAGAGACGGTTTCAGGCCAAATCCACTCTCAGGGTCAAACTAAGACCCAGCTGAGAGACTGTGAAGCCCCGGGCCGTCTGCCTGCATGAGACTAAACAGCTGAGATGGCTCCAACTAAAACTGACGGACCATATTGAAAATCTATATCCTATACTTTGACATTTTCACTGCGTAACATACTGTGACAATTTACCTATGTGTTTTTATTAAATATGGTATACTATGATCTTTTACTACATACTAACTATACTGTGACATTTTTAATTATATTTTTTATTAAATACTATTTATTATGACTTTTTTCCCCCCGACATACTACAGTAAAATCAGTACTTCTGTATATACTATGATTTTTTTTTTTAACAACAAACAATACTGTGACTTTTTTATCATTTTGAATGAAATACTTCCGAGGGGTGGTTCAGAAGAAAAATCCAGTTTGAAGAAGTGTGTTTTTGAGGGCTTGTTTGGAGGATGATAGGGTGGTTGATGGTCTGATGTGTATCAGGAGGGGGTTCCAGAGGGAGGATGCACCCCAGGTCCAGAGCTTAGTCCTGGGGTCTTTAGGGTGTTTGCATCTGAGATGGATGAGGTCAGAGAGTTAGGGAGGGGCCAGGTTGTTTAGGGCTTTGAAGGTGGTGAGTGATATTACATTTTTATGACCTACTAAACAAAGGCTTTTGAATATATTTTTTTATATTATAGATTCATAACTTTTTAAGAATTAATTACATTTGTGACACACTATACTATTACATTTTTAAATATGCCTTTTCTATGGCATACTTTAGTATTACGTTTTATATGAAAAAAATATATACAGTTTATACAATGACCTTTTCCGATGCACCGGAATTTTTATAATAATAGTAATAATAATAATAAACTGTATTTGTATAGCACCTTTCATGCACAAAGCAGCCCAAAGTGCTTTACAGAAAACATAACAACAATATTAAAATAATATTAACATGAATACACAACAAGATAAAACATCTACAGTGATAATATGTTAAAATAAAACAATTTAAAAATCAAAGCAAAACAGAAAGAATACAGTAAAACATGGACAGTGATACTAGAGAGAATTGAAGGTTAACCCAAATGAAAAGCCATATTAAAAAAGATAGGTTTTTAGTTTGCTTTTAAACATTTCAAGGGTGTTTGCTGTTCTAAGATAATAAATTATTCATGCTGAACTTTACTGTCACTTATATACGAATGTTTTTTTACACACTGACTTTTTAATGTAATATTTATTTATTCTTTATCATTTTTTTAAGGTTTTTTTCAATATACTACACCATTATTATTTTTTTAGAACTTTTTGTGACCTACTAAATTGTGACCTTTTTTTTTGATGAGTTTGCACGTCATATGTTATGACTGTGACATACCGAACTATGACTTCACCTTCACATTCCTTTGTTATCTGTTCTACAGGGTTAGCCAACACGAGGCTGGGCTCTTACTCAGAGTATTTAAATTCTTTGTTCTACGCTGTTGTACTAGAAATTGTTGGAAACTCATCCCAGAATCAGAAACAGGTTTATTGCCAAGTAGGTTTACACATACTAAGAATTTGCTGTGGTGTAAGAGATGTAAGAAAACGTTTCTTACATCTCTTACAATAGCCATCAGTTCAAAAAGTGTCTGCATGGACACGGAGAGAGGAATACGTTGTAGAAAGCAGCAACAAGTAGTACAATTAAAGAATATTGTAAAGATAAAGAGAATATGTTCACAACATTTAACACACTGCAGCCTCACATCTTGCTTCAAAAACTGATCAGTATAAATCCTTTTATCTTGAAATGGTATTTTTCGTTTGTAACCAATCGCAGTCAGCACGTCAGGGTCAACAATGCCCTCTCAGAGCCCCGGACCATCAGTACAGGAGCCCCCCAGGGTTGTGTGAGCTCCCCGGTCCTCTTCACACTGTACACAAACGACTGTACGAGAATCCACCCGGAGAATTATATCATCAAATTCTCAGGTGATACAGCCATCCTTGGCTTAATGCACAAAGGCAGCAGTTCATCGGCTTATCACTCTGAAATAGAGAGATGTGTGCAGTGGTGTGATTTTAACCATCTAGTGCTGAATGTGAAGAAGACTGAGGAGATGGTGTGGGACCCAAAGGCAATGGGTGACCTCAGGCCGGTGGTTATCCACAATGAACCCATAACTCAGGTCAGCTCCTATAAGTACCTTGGTGTCCATCTAGATAATACACTCAGCTGGAAGGTGCATGTTCAAGGTCTGTGCTCTAGACTTCAACAGCGGTTGTACTTTCCGCGTCGACTCCGGGCTTTCGGAGTCGACCAGAGGTTCATGTTACTGTTCTATCATGCAGTGTTGGAGAGCATCATGAGGTATGGTATCACTGCCTGGTACGGTAACTTGACAGTGCAGTCAAAGTCACAGATCGCTCGCATGGTACAGACTGCTATGAAAATGATGGGGGTTAAAAAAAGACCCATCTCTCCAAAACATATACGAGCAGTCCATTATCAGACAGGCAAAAAACATGGTGTCTGATCCCACCCACATACTCCACCCAGAATTCCAGCTCCTACCTTCTGGTAGAAGATTCAGGGTTCCCAAGAGCAGGCTGAACCACTATAAGCACTCATTCCTACCTATGTCCATTAAGCTTCTTAACATTCACATGAAATGAAATGAAATGTACTTTTTAAATGTTGGCCATGAGGGTTGTGCAATAGGTCGCCATTGTCATTATGTGCGTCTGTGTATTGTGTTTGTTCAAACAGTGTATGACTGATGATATGTGTATGTCTCTTAATGTCTACTATGTTTGTATATGTACATGTATGCGGAACTGCAAGACAGAGTCCAGAACACATTTCCTAACGGGGACAATAAAGTATATCGTATCGTATCGTAACATGTAAATACCAAATATTAAGTACAGTAAAAATATGACAACAAATATAATTAAAAGTGGAGAGCTGTGCAGATAAATAAATAAATAAGAGGTAGCTTTGAATAGAAATTGGCAAAATATTCTGAGGGTTGTGCGGGGTACTCATTATTAAAATGAACAAGATTACTGTTACTGAGGAACTTTGACCTACATAGACATTATATTATATTTTAAAAACTGAAAAATAGTCACCAACAAATACATTTTCCACTCATGATTGAGAAACAAAGGCCAAAAACCACAGTTACTCTATGTTGAATTCATAAGTTATCTAGAAACTATATACATGCAATCTAACAGACATATATAGACATGATTCTGGTCTTTTTATGGGATTTGTGAAAAATCAAATTACTACCAACAATAGTAATACACCTCAAACTATGGGTTTTGTCGACGGGAACGCCCTCAGCTTTACACTTCAATAAGGAATGCTGATGCATATATAATTATTCCTTATTTCCAAAGAAATCAGTCATTCAGGTTTAATCCAGGAGCTTAAGACGGAAGGAGGGAGAGGTGTGTTTCTTTTGTGGTGTGGAAGGAGGTTCCACTGCGAGGGTCTGAGGGTGTCCATGATGTGTACATTGTAAAGCCTCCTGAGGCCAATTCATAATGGATGATTTAAAATAGAATTTTAATGCGTTTATAATATTGTTTAAAATGGAAATTAACAAAAAGAGACTGACACAAAAAATACCTTTTGTTATGAATATAAAGGAACAAAGTTATTTCTCTAGTTCCTTTTTAAGATAATTTATGTTCCATCCATCCCAGTGTTCAAATGCTATCTGATCCCTTGCACAGATGTGTCTCATTAACAAGTTAGTTATAGTGTGTTTATAACAATGGGACTGAAGTATACTCTTGAGCTAAATGTAACTCTAACAAAAGATCTTGGCAACCTTTGGTAGAAAGAAAGGTGCAACATAACACTGTTTCCTCACATGTTAAAACTTGTGCCGGGAGATTCTTAATTCACTCACAGATCTTATACATGTGTTTCCCAATCCTTTATTTCAGGGCACAGCTTTTCTAGATACACATCTTTTCAAACTCACTTACAGTACATGTACCATCATAAAACACAGTCAGACATGTCCTTAGAATTAATAAGACAAATGTTGGATTACTTGCAATTTCAGTGTGATCTTATAAAAAAACGAAATAAATAAGGAACGACTATTTAGAGTTATTATAAGTGGCAACATGTAATCCTTCAACAGATGTTCTAATGGTTGCCTTTACCTTTTACCAACCACCTGGGAATAAACAAAAACCTGATCATGTTCTTTGCAAAAAATGACACTTACATTTTATTAAGCCGACGCTTTTTTCCAAAGTAACCATAAAAATACAAACGGCAAGAAACATGCAGGTATGTTAAAGGGGCCATATTATACTCATGTTTAGGTTCATATTTGTATTTAGCATCTCTACTGTGACATGTCTCCATGCTTTAATGTTCAAAAAGCTCTTGACCAGAACCAGAGCCCAGTCTGCTCTGATTGGTTAGCTGACCAGCTCTGTTGTGATTGGTCAACCTCTATCACGTACAATGTGTTGGAGTGCTAGCCAATAGATGTGCGAGTGTTGATAATTGATGTCACTATGTTCCTGAAGTTAAAAAAAAGAGTCCAATGGAAGAGTTTAAGGCAGGTGGAAGTGGGAGAGAAACTCACTCTTGAGGGAACTTCTGGATTTTAGCCTTTGCAGACCATTTACATGCATCCTATACAGGGGAGGGGAAACCCCCAAAAATCACAACAGGGCCACTTTTAGTAAAGGATTTGAGTTCTTCCAACACTGGTCTTCAGTCTGCAGCAGAGGATGTGTTGACTTCCTGTTGTCCTTTTAACTGTTATACCTCCAGGCCTCTCTGTTTGGGATTCCCCGACTTAAGCTTTCCTTTCTCTACATGTTTTTATTCCCCGCAGCGTTCTTCATCGGCCTGCTGAACACCTTCGTCCACGTGGTGATGTACTCTTACTACGGCCTGGCTGCCATCGGCCCTCACATGCAGAAGTACCTGTGGTGGAAGAGATACCTGACGTCTCTGCAGCTCGTGAGTAATCTCTGATCTGAATGAGAGGAATGTGACTGCTCTGACGATATGTTTGTGAGGTAATCCGATCTGAACTTTACCCCACTTACAGGTGCAGTTTGTGCTGTTCCTCCTGCACTCGGGCTACAACCTGTTTGCAGACTGCGACTTCCCCGACTCGATGAACGCGTTGGTATTCGTCTACTGCGTCTCCCTCATGATCCTCTTCCTTAATTTCTATTATCAGAGCTATCATAACAAAAGGAAGCAGAAAGAAGTGTAAGACACACTGAGGCTTCATGAGAGCGTCAGCTTGAGGGATGTTTTCCTGCCTGCAGTACTCACTAGCGTCCACTAGAGGGAACAACACGCCCACAGTCTGAGTGTTTTTGTCATGGTGCTCGTTATCAAAGGACAGACTTGAACATTGTATATTTACCAGACGTGTACAACTAAATGTGGTTTGAGATTTTTGTTTTTGATATTGTCAATTATATGTTAAAAAAAAAGATAAATGTCACGTGATCATTCAATTATTTATTCCTTAAATTGAGAAATGACAAACATTCAAATGATTGCTGTAAACAAACTGTACATTTTATACATATAATAAAAGTAGGTGGGGTTTCTTCTGCATTATTGCAGATGTAATGAGTTCAAACCCTCCTGCAGAGATAAATCAAAAAAAGCAAAACACTTAACGACAAAATACAGAAATGCAAACAAGTTTTTTTTCCACTGCTTAAAACACGGCAACATTTATATATATTCTAATGTACACTTCAGTCTGAAGGATGTAGATTAGAGAGAAAACACATGAAGAGGAGGGAGAGGACGCTTCCTTCAGTTGCTTTGTGTTCGAAGTTAATATAATTACGCTGAAAAACCTGCTTGTGTACATGAGTTCTAGATGTGATTTAAGAAATAAAGCATTTTTGATCTTTAATCGACTGAAGGGCACATATTACGTTTTTTACATCTTGATTTTTAAGCTTCTTTGACTTTGCTAATAAAAGGACAGTTCTGTGTTACTTCTTCGACTTGTGTCATTCATACATTGGAAGAGCAAGATCTTTGTTTTGTAAAATATATGAATTACTGGAGAATCTGTCATGCTAAAATGATTCACTTAGGAAACTATGGTTTGGTTAAACTCGTCACAACTGGAAGGAATATGCAACCTGTGACATCCTTGTTTAAAGGGTCACAAATCATAAAGGAAGGGAAACCATTTTTCATCATTTAATCATGTGACTTCAGGTGAGAAGTTAATGACATCCTGCTGGTTACACATCCATCTGCAGCGTAGGATAGATCAAGGTATACATTGTTTAGATATTCAGAGTGATACCATATCTTAGTATGTTTAAAAAAAAGAGGAAACGGGAAGTAGAGAAGAGGGATCCAGCTGTGAGGACGAAGGACTGCGGAGTGAATCGTTTCTGCTCCAGTGTTGCTCTAAGTCTCTGAGTAGACGGAGGACATGTGGTTCAGGCTGCGGTCGAAGTTTCCCACCTGGAAGAAAATGTTTTCCTCGGGGCTGGAGGAGAACTGACATCCTGCGCCGCCCTGGAGCTCCTGGGTCAGGTTGAAGCCTGAAGAAAGGAGATTAGTTTAACATTTGTATGAAAAGTATTCAGGCGATCTTTATGGTAGGGTGAAGGGTAAATTGTCCTGACCTGCAGTGCCGGTGTTGCTAGTGCTCATGTGGAAGCCGTTGTGCTGATGGGAGTTGTAGTTTTGAGAGTCTGCGGGGACGTGGACGCCTCCGACCGTCTGCTCCATCCTGTACGAGTCCCCGAAATGGAAGCAGCTCTGAAAGCTGCCCTGGTATTCTAGGAAATGAGATGTGGCACATTATAGTATGGCATTAAAAACCTCACTTTCTGTCACAAGAATGTTATCAAAGTCATAAGAATGCAACCAAAAACAAGTCAAAAGATGACTTCAAAAAAGCAAAGTAAAGTATAACATAGATAAGTCATAGTATAATATATTAGCAATGAATACCTAAACGCACTCAGGTGGTAAAAACACAGATATTCAAGACAAATCTCAATTCCAACAACTTATTGTGGCCAAGTCAATTAAACATGCTAACAAGTCGACCTAGTTGCCTTCATAAGAGCATGATTATAAAATACATTTAAAGTTGTTATGTATGGCATAAGAAATTCCATTAAAATGTTGAATAATCAAATATTCTGTCTTTTAAAAAGTCTTAATGAAGTACGTCTCAAAATTGTCATAAATTCATGAAGCGGCTACGCCTTGAAAAAAAAGACAGCGTGTCCCATAAATGTCTCAAAAATATTAAAAGTCATTAAAACCAAAGTATAGTGCATCTAACAAAGTCATAATACATGTCATATACAAAGTCATAGTATGTCAATGTGATCAAATGTGATAGTATAGTAAGTCATAATAAAAGCATAAATAAGTAATAAAAAACATTAACAGTAAAAAAACTGTAATAATAATACTATTAATAATAATAAGAGAATATTATGTTTCAAAATCTTATTACTATGAAAACTGTTATAGAATGTCTTATAATATATAATTTAATGTGTTGAAAAATATATTTTTATAAATAGTAATAGTAATGTATAAGAAAATAATATATATAGTATAGCGCTTGAGGTCATAACAAATATTAACTATTTTGACTTCCTACAATTCCAGACATTTTCAGACCTTGAATATCAAAAACTACATTTGAGCCATTTAAAGCCTCCACAGGGACCCTGGGAGTGAAACAGGACTCAGACCTGACGGACTGCCACCAGCGGGCGATGCTTTCTATAATCAGTCAGCATCCGCTCCATCTGGATGAAACTAAACGTTGATCTCAAATTATGACAATGCTATATTTGTGCTCCTGCTCGCAGCGCCAGCCCATAAGTCCCCATCGTCTCCGAGAGGACCGCAGGAGGCTCCATAATGGGGAGGCAGCTCTGCCTGGAGCGCTTTTACGCAACTCTGTGACCGCAGCGTGGTTTCAGAGACGTCCATGTGTAGATCTTTACAGGGAAAACAGTGTTTAAGGCATTAGGAAAAAGGCTCTGGAGTGACAGCTGAGCCGGCCATGTTGGGGCGCTGAGAGACAGCTGAAGACATGAGCCAGCGTTTTGTTGGCTAATTCAGCTCGGGGGAAAGGCTTCCGGCGTGTGGTTTCCCCCACTCTGTCTCTACGACTGTAATCTCCCTCTGTCCTGAAAACACTCAGACGGAGCAGCGAGAGACAACTTCCTCTCCTCAGGACTTTCATGTGGCTTCAGCAAGTGTTTGAAAAAGGACACAGGGGTGTTCTCATGTATATCCAAGTGATCTGACACTGAGGAAGTTATATAAGAGCGGTACTCCAGCTACATGTTACAGGGGAACATTTCAGGATATTAAATTGAAACGGCAGTGAATAATTTTGCATTGAAGCCAAAACATATTTCCTGAAACAGGTTCCTTTCAGACAGATGTCTCAGTCTCACCGTCGTTGGCAGGCTGATGGTGGTGATAGTGAGAGTAGGGCTTGTGGTGAGGGTGGAGGTGCTGTTTCTCCAGAGGAGGAGGAGGCGTCCCTGTTGCCTTCATCCCTGGAGACAGGAGGGGACCCGACACCCTGCAGGACACACAGAGAGGGAGGGATATATTAAGACATCCAATCCTTTCTCGACAGTCTCAATCATTTCTGTATAAAATGCTGCAAACTGGTGACGTCCCAATCAACGCAGGAGCTACATGTCGGCCCGCTGACCACATCATCAGACAAGAAGAAGGAGAAGAAGAAAAAGGGTGAGAACGAAAAGAAGAATCAGAAGTAGAATTAGTAGAAGTTTAAGAAGTAGAAGTAGAAGAGACATCCCAGGCTGTGGAAACTCCAGCTCCCCACATGTAATCGTCCACATACCACATATTATGATCTTAAGTCAACAAACAGCAGAGGATGCACTCAAATGTAACCCCACACACCCCCCCCCCACACACACACACACACACACACACACACACACACACACACACACACACACACACACACACACACACACACACACACACACACACACACACACACACACACACACACACACACACACACAACACACACACACACACACACACACACACATCACACACACACACACACACACACACACACACACACACACACACACACACACACACACACACACACACACACACACACACACACACACACACACACACACACACACACACACGAAAGCACAATGGTGTTTAGATTCATGACTGTTGAGAAAAATAAATACTAAGATGACATGTTTGTGACTTTTTGGACAGCGGGGGTTTCCACATCAGAGTGTTACAAATAAAGGTTTGTTCATGCCTTTTTATGTATGTGTTTCATTTGATCCAACAATCTTTAAACACAATTTGAGATTCAATTTGAACGTGCAGATTCAAAATCTACTTTTTGCAGCATCTGGAACCAAGTCCTGCATGTTAGATGTTTCATCTATCATGAAATGTATACAATTAACATAAGGTTTATTATTTAAAAAAGCAGCATAAGCTTATTAATCAACACAGAATTAATGTTTATTTGAACCATGCAAAAATGAAAACAGGATTTTGTTACCTTCGTACAGAGCCAGGCTAGATATTGAATGTGCGTATTGCCTTTTTGAGATGATGGTGAATAGGTTACCCAGGAGCAGCAAAAACCATGTCTTGTTTCTGTTCAGACACTTCAATGTTTACTGTGAAATGTAATGACTTAATGTAGCACTTTTGATATTAGCTAATCTAAACATAACTTTGGTTCATACTCAAGACTGACGGCCAACAGACCTGCCTTTAAAAACTAAGCAGGTCAATCACCTCCCCAAATATTCAACAGCTACTTACTACCCTCTCATGACAGCACATCAGGAATGCCAACACATGAACTGCTGCTGTGTTACTACGCGCCGCGCTGCTGTGGAGGCATATGGTTTGCAGTAAGCGCTATATGAAGGTGATGACGGAGTGTTTCTGGAGGTGGTGGAGCCCCCAGCTGACGGCTCTCTGCTGGCCTGAGTGGAGCCCAATATATGACCTACTGCTCCGAATGAGGGGCGTCCCACCCGGCACTCAGGAGCTGGCAGTGGCTCTGTGGAGATCATTCAGTGGAGAGTGGTTTATAAAGGGAAAAGGTAACCAAGGTCAAAGTGCAAGAAGCTGCGACATTCACAAGTGGGGTATTTACTGACCTATTTGATGTCATAGAACAAAACGTGAACGTTAAGCTTGTGTGAACCCTTACTTCAGGCATTCAACAAAAAACGCTCAATAAAAAACATTGACTTCGGAACAAGAGGACAGGAAGTGGTAAAAAGCGTATTAATTTCCGGGTTTTAGGGCTCATTCCTACACCACTCTATAAAGACTTTACAAAGGTATACTTTGCAGCCAATATTTTTTTTACAACTCATGTAAAAGTATGTACATTTTAACAGTCATGTTTTATATTGTGCTAATGCTTGTATTTGAAATATCTAAATGATTCCTACCAACAAGGGGGAGACTTTCCAAATCACACATTTCGCACGATTAAGAATTCAGTATTTAGATGACAGGCTTTATGCCTTTGGGAGAAACAGCAGAGTAACACAAAGGTCCTGCATTGAAGGTCTTCACTGCCTTCTACTCATTAACATGTTCATCTGGGTATCAAATGTAAGTGCTTAGCCGTATATGGACTGCACTTGACCTCCTTGTCCATCTCCACAGAACTGAGGAAGTGTGTGTGGCACCTTGTTAGTCGAGCTGCGGAGAAGCTAGCTGTTAGCGAGCGTAGCTAATCCATGGGTTGGCACCGGCCCAGTGCGTGGCCATGTGTTCCTGCAGAGTGCAGAATTCCCCCGGGAGCTGCTGTCAGCACAAACTCAGGAAACAGTTATACTGTTCATATTTTTACAAGCTGCCTCTATGTGCAACTAAAGTGAATCATAAGCTAATCACTGCCAGCTGCCCCCCGGCCCTGCTCTCGCAAGTATTAGCCTGCTAGCAACTCAGGCTCGAGGAATGAGGGGAATCTTTCATTTGCTACATTAATCTCTCCCTGATATTCATCTTCACTGAGCATCCAGCACTTCTCCGCTTTCTCCAGCCAGCCCAACTCTCCTGTCTTACTGCAATGAGAGAGTGATTCGACCGCTGACCTTTTCCAAGGTACAGATGGAGGGGATTTTAAGGTGAGGGTATCAGATAGATGGACTTCATTTAATAAATATTTAAAAGGTTTGGAGGTTAGGGAGGGTGTGGACAGATATGTCAAATAGTAATACCCTTGTGTCCTGTCTTCTATAACAGATGGATGGGACCTTTATTGCTTGAAGAAAAAGAAGCAACAGAAAGAGGATAACAAATACTTTGAAACCTGGATTGTTTTTTTCCCTGAAGCCACGCAAGTTCAGACAAAATGACTTGGACGTCGACTGCAACCATTGTCCAGAAATCTTTCTTCAAGTTGATGCTCTCTTGTGTGACAGAGGAGCTGCCCTCTGAGGCATGATGGGATGGAAAGAAACAGGAAGATTCATGAGCAGTTCTGCCCTGCTCCTCGTTCATCTTCCTTCACCTGAGGCTAACTATCCCACCAGGGAGCAGGGATCAGACTCTGGCCTCCACAGACTACGTTCCCCACAAACACCCTCTGCCTCGCCTCTCATCTCTCGGATCATTAAGCCCCTCTGATAGATGACGGGGGCTTCTTTGGCGCATATCGGTGGGAACACTTCTGGTTCTGGTTAGCGAGACAGACTGCAGCATCCTGGCTAAAGCTAAGCTAATGCTAAGCCAGCCCTGCAGGCCCCAGTGTGGACAGCACAGGATATTTTTGGGGGGCCCTGTTAGTCCCAGAAAGAGAACTGCCCTAAACACAAACAATCCAGTCTTAATCACCGTCATCTTGTGGGAATTTCACAGTAAATCATCTGAATCTTTGTCATGAGTTTGTGTAAACGGGCTAATTGATGACTACACATTAACTACAGAGCAGACTGAGTGACTGACCACATAATGCCATGAGCGTCTACCTCAAAAATGTTTTTGTTTGGGCTGTGAGATTGACACGGGTTTTCTGGATCACCGTCCAATGATAATGGCTGGAGGACAGACAGTGTAAAGTTACGAGCCGTGAACGTCCCCCTTCAGAGCGTCTTAATGTAGCTCTGTGCCGTCTCTGCCGCCACTCTAATTCAATTAGCCTGTGTCAATCACTGCTGAGGTATCAAACCACCTCAGACTAATATTTGCAGAGGGGCTCTAATATCAATATGCAGGTAGAGCCTGTAGACTCTCCCCTCTGCAATTATATAACCACATATGGCTGAGGCAGTGAATGACAACATTTACCACCCATCTCTCTGTGCATGAGTCGCCATGGTCCAACAGCCATCTCTATCAGAGAGGCCCTACACACACACACACACACTCTAACTCTCACTCGTGCCATGCCGATTGCCAAATGTATTTAAACTGGCATATTTTAATATTAGCTCCAGAAAAATGACACTGGTATTTACAAAGTAAAAGGAGTCTAAATGGCCCATTTGAGCCAGAGTAAACACATTTAGCTATGAGGTCAGAGGCTGCCACACTAGAGGCGGGTTGGTTTGATAATTTTGTCAAAATGTTTAATGTCCTGCTAAACCGTTTGGGAAAAACAAGTGCTGCACTGATATTGACTTTGGCAGGAGCCTGTATACTCAAGGCTTTAAACATGTAAATCAAATGCTCCATCTTCAGGCAAATGTGAGTCGACGTTTCATGCCCGGCTGCTCGTACTGTGTGATGAACAGATATGGCACTCCAGTGTGTGTGTGTGTGTGTGTGTGTGTGTGTGTGTGTGTGTGTGTGTGTGTGTGTGTGTGTGTGTGTGTGTGCATTTATGACTGCTTTCAGGTCAAACATCTTGATTTGATGAAATCTGTAAATTTGGAAATTGCTGCAACTTTAATGCATTGTCATCACGTCACAAGTATGTAGGAGCTTAAGGTTGGGAAGAAACACGGAAGATTACTTATATGGCATAATAGGCACTTAAGTTACATAATGGAAAAAAAAGGGGATTCTCACTGCTAACCACTCACATTCTCTCTCACACACACACACACACACAGAGTTCAGATGTTCCTGATCAAGCACCTGAAGGAACCGAATTACATCTCACATCCAATAATGTCACCCTGCCTGTGTGACCGCTGTTACAGCATCCACTGCTCAGGTCCTTTTCACTTTCCATTTCTCTCCTCACGCTGGTAATTGTGCATGCCGCAGAGAAAGAGGCAGTGAAACCACGAGGTAATTTCACCAGCGTTCCTCCTGCTTTTAAGGCTTGAAACAACACATCACCTTCCAGATGCTTCCAGGCCGACCTGGCGTCTCTGAGCGGCGCTCGGACGTTTACATCGAGGCGGTTTCTACGCGTCTCTCTGCTGTGTTTGTGCTGGAAGTGGAGCAGTCTGCTGTGCCTCACACCCCAATCACATGCAGTCATGTGTGTTTCCTGGATTACTATATGTAAACTCCTCTCACTCACACACACAAGTGCAAATGCATTTAGAGTAAGAGAGCCATCAAACCTCATTCTGTCATACGTCTATGCTGTATACACTCCCATAAAAGTGTATATACACACACAGACACCGGGCCCACCGAGTTAAAAGAAAGCGTGTTTATGTAACACGATAACTTTTGTAACACATGGGTTTATGATGCCTGATTTCATCCATTCTTTCTCAATGTTATTAAACTGTAAAATATTTGTTATCCTTTTTTACCTCCCTGGTTTTTAGCACATTGTTTAGTACAGTACACACTGTGTCTCCTGACGACACTTAGACTCTGTAACTCGGCTCCCGGAGGAAATCATCCGCACTAATAGGAAACATGCTGTGCCTCTTATACAACACACACACACACACACACACACACACACACACACACACACACACACACACACACACAACACACACACACACACCACACACACCACACACACACACACACACACACACACACACACACACACACACACACACACACACACACACACACACACACACACACACACACACACACACACACACACACACCACACACACACACACACACCACACATCACACAACACACACACACACACACACACACACACACAACACACACACACACACACACACACCCACACACACACACACACACACACACACACACACACACACACACACACACCTTCTGTAAGTATATTAAAGTGCATCTATTCCTGTATTCTTTTTACAGTAAATTTTTTTTTTTTATAAATTGGAAAGAAATCTAAAACAGAACTTATTTTCTTCTTTGCCAACGATTTAGCAATCCTGTCCAACTTAATAAATCATATTCAATTATCTTCCTTTAAAAAGTATCCCCACTTGAACTTATTTTCACAAATATCTGACGGATGTATAATCTAAGATGGCAAACTTAAATGCAGTTCATTGCTTGTATTTATCGTATAATCACTCAACAAATAATGTCTGTTAAACATGATTACCACTAAATTAGTACAATTTCTATTGTTTGGTAATGTTTTCTGCTGATGTGTTGATTTATGTCATTTGAGGATAAAACAGATGATCTTTTCACAGTTCCCGCCTATTAAAGTGTGAATCATGTACGGCCAAGTGGTTTGGTCATAGTGCTGATGCTGTCGTATCCAGGGGAGATGGGGGACCTTACGAACACCTCATCCAGTGCCAGAAGTAGAGCTCGTGATGTGTCACAGCGACCTGGAGGTGACCAGCACACCCCCTCTCCCCACGAGGGATGTCTCAGGGGTCGTGGAGTTGAGTTTGTTTCCAGTAAAACGAGGGGCTTAACCTAATATGATCTAAGAGGGTTTGCCCTGCGGATCTGCCTTGATCCAGGATGATAAATAGGTGGAAAACAATGGAAACACAGCGGGTCAAAATCAGTGTGAGGATCATGAAACCATCAGCGTGAGTAATGGAGGAAGAAAGGTCAACTGACTTGTGTGTGTTTATAAGGACACTTATGTTAATGTGTGAAAATATAAATGGTAATAGTAATTGGAATGGATCATTCAAATTGATTCATCATTCAATTATCACATGTCCTGAGTAAAATGCGTGACTCTAGGGCACCTTAGCACTGCCCAAGAAGTGACCTGGCACCTTTAAAAAACACCAGTCCACACTTTGCGCTTCCGTTTTCAGGGACTTCAGCCGGCGATCGTCCGATTCCAAGCCCCTAAAGTACTACCATTTGTAATGAAACCTTTTTTGGGGGCTTTTTCTAAGCGAAGGTGTTGCTCCATTGAATGTTTTTGATAACTTCTGCTAGAAAAGTTTGATATCACGTGACTACAGCAGCTGCCAATCAGAAGAAGCTTTAGTCATGATATTTTTTTTTTTGTGTTTAAATGAAAGACAATGTATAAAATGTGCCAGGTGAATAACTTTATGATAAAAAAAAGGGTTGAAAAGTTGTTTTTTCTGCTGCAAGAAGCAATTAATTGGATGATTCGACCATTATAATCTCTTTAAAGGTCACCTATTATGCAAAATCCACTTGGTCATGTCTCTTCTACATCAACATGTGTCCCCTCTGTGTAAAGAGATTCTGAAAGTTTCAGGAAAAAAGATTCTCTCACTTTTTGTCCTGATCCATTTATATAAAAACCTGTCTGAAAATGAGCTGATCAGATTTTTGCCACTTTATGATGTCATAACGATTTGTTGGCTTGTGTAACCATTAGCCAATCACCAACCAAGGTAACCCCCCCCCCCCCCCCCACCTTATCACCTGAATGTCCTCCTAGAGCACCATTGTGTTCTTTTTAACCAAATAACTCTCAGAGGGGCGTGGGGAGGGGCTCCTTATTTTCATCTAAAGTAACAGACAGAGAATCAGCACTTTTGAAACAGGGCTGAAACAGAGGGGATTATGGGATGCTGCAATGATCTGTTTGGTGTTTCGAGCTAAACACTTCAGAGACATGTTTGTATATATCTGAGACCTATAATATATTGATGAAAAACAGTATAATAGGGGACCTTTAAGACTCTTCACTCCAAAATGTCCGGGCAGTGTTCATTTGTCTTAACGTGACATGACTGATTTTTAATTCAGGAAACACCAGGGTGCATCCATGTAACACGTCCACAGACAGAAGACTCACCCGTCTCTGGGGTCCATGGCTGCCAGCGGGGACAGGTGGTGGGGGCTGCCGAGGTCCCGGTCCAGGCGGTGCTGTCTGGAGGGGAGGTCAGCGGGGGGGACGGAGGAGGGGTTGGGGGGGAGGAGCTCCACTGAGGCGCTGTGGTGGGGGGTGCTGGAGCCGGCGTACAGGCCTGAAAGACAAACAAAGCTAATTCAGTAAATGTGTCAAATAAACCCAAGGCCTCTGCTCTCCATCTTTGCTTTGAGCAAATTAAAAGACATTTCATGGCAATGGAATTTTTGTTTTGACAACCTTAAATGTTCTGTGTTTGCCCTGTTTGTAATTTAGGGTACATTGATTGTACTGCCATGGGGTTGGCCTTGTTTGTCCTTTCAGCTGTTTGTGCTTATGACACAATAATAAAACTAAAATGTTACATGTGTTTGAGCGGTGACTTTGAACCGTAGGGTATTTAAAGAGGGTAAATAGGGTTATTGTACGCCCTCATGGTTGTGCGAGTACATGACTATCCATATATCTGTAGTATTCTGCGTGTGTATGTTTGAATGTACATTACACTGTATCTGTATCATTTTATTTTTACATAAATACTAAGAAAATAATGAACAGAACAGTTGGATTTGCTGACTGATATTTGATGAATATGTTATGGACAGCGGTCTGTGGGGGGCACCATTTTCTACTGAAGCTGGCTGCATGTCGCCAACTTTTCTACTGTTTCAAGCTGTGCACTCCTATTAAACACAGATTCGTTTTTCCTGTTCAGAAACAATGGAAACCAGGGGCTGCAACTAATAATATTTATTATAACAGATGAATGATAGCTTTTTGTTCCTAGGGAAGAATTCTACCAAAGTTCCCTAAGCCAGAGGTGCTGAATTAAAATGTTTTGTTTTGTCTGACCAACAGCCAAAATCCAAAAGATACATTTTCCAGTGATAAGTATTTATATTTTCATTTGGGGGGCAGCTAGTATTTCGACTTATGTATGGTGGACAGATGCAAATGCATATTAACAGCCTAAAACCTTTACATTCGGAGCAAGTTCAAAAAAAGACAAATGTGCCAAAACACCAACTTGACGAAACATGCGCAACGTTTACTAATAAACAAATCGCTGCAAGAAGCTCAAAACACAACGGAAACGGCGACACTAAAAAGTGATGCTCACAGCTGGGACAGGAGCGCTTTTCGATGTTCGGGGATAACACATTTGCATGGGTTTTTGTATATGCATTGTTTTTTAAAGTGCAGCGTGTTTCTCCTAATGGAAGTGTTTTGGGCCGTTGTAGCGCATTTGCTCCTGCCAGTCATCGTACTTATGTGCTGTATTGTAAAGTGTGACAATTTGTTACCACATTCTGCTTTTGTCTGGCAGTTTTTGCAGCTGCACTTTCACACATCTGTCAACAAAAAGTTTCCTCTTGTTTAATCGCAAAATGCTGCTCCAGAGAGAGACCTGTGACAATTCGCAGTGAAATACAGAACTAGAATCCAAGTCTTTAAGTTGGGAGAAGTTACACTGGATCTTCACTTATTCCACCAGCACAATAAATCTACTCTTGCCATCTTCCGCTCCGTTTAACGTATGATTTCTTTCCCAGGATCCACCCGCTGACTGTTGGGGCAGTTAACCAGTGACGAGAGGGGAAGACAGGAGGAGATGAAAGGAGGGGAAAAGATCGGCGCTCCTGGTTTTACCGTTTCCAGGCGCAGCTGTTCTCGAGTGGAAGCATGCTGGGGCCTGATCTGACAGCACTCTGAAATGGTTACAAGCTTGATTCATTACCCCCAAATCATCAATCACAGTCCTTAAATGTTTTCCCCTTTAGCCCCAACATCTGCTATCAGACCGGCAAAACAGTCGACAAATAATGGCTGTGATTGCCTCAATTTCATCGCTGGTTCCTTCTGGTGGGAGAGGAGTGAGAAGATGTGATGGCACTCTTTATGGGTTATAGAGGATTATGTTTTTGAAGATGTTGGATTCTGAAATGCTTCTCGTCAAACTCAGGAAGAAAGTCCTGAGTTAGAGGGATATGGAGAGGGATGTAAGCCATTCAGCATAATAGCAGGAGCATGTAAACATCTGCACTAAAACTTTGATAAGTCCTTCCTCTGGTTAATCAGGGAACTCTAATTATGCTCCATAAAACAGAGAGGGGCTTCTCGTAAGTCCTGCTGCAGCCATGTGAACAAGAGCAGACTTATAACAGGAAAACAAGTTTAACTCTGACTGGAAGCATGACTCATTTTCTGCTCCACAAGTGTTAATGATGAGATGGCTGCCCACCTTGCCCAACCTCTTCCATGCATCATATTGGCCCTGAAACAAAGGGGGAACTCATGAAAATGGAGATCCTGAATGCCAACCTGCAACATCTTTGCTGGCCTTGAATAACACCGCATCCCTGAACGCTTTGGCATCGACGCACGAGCAAAGTCCTCGGGGGTTTAAAGCATTTTAAACAAGGGAGTAAGCAACATCCACTCAGAAACAGAGGGAGGCAGAGGGGAAAAAAGCCAAGATGCAGAGGTCCAGTGGACATTCAAGGAGAAGTTGAGCGTTCACAGTCGTCAACATAGTGTTGAGTTCCAGCAACAATAACAGAGAGTAACGGGGAGCGTGGATGGGATACAGGCAGAAAAAAGGACAGATGTGAACTGAGGGACTCTGTCTTGTCTTTAAGATAGTTAAAATCTATTTATCTCTCTCTCTTGTTCCCACTCCGGAGTTGTGTTGACACGTTGTCACGGTCAAATTCATCAATTAGAAAAATGGATGTTTAAGCGGCCACATGTGACGAATAAAAGTTTCCGTTTGTGGCGGGTTGTAATGGTTTTTGCAGCCTTTGCATGACAGGATGACAGGTTAACATGATATGGTTATGAATTACAAACCAAGCAAACAAAAGTGCCAGGTTGTTACTTCTGAACTAAAATAACCAAGGGGAGTCCAACAGCTAAAATGTTGATATAAAATGTGTATAGGCAATTATAGATGAATTATAGTGTGTTTATGTTTGAATAAAGGTGCGGTAAGTACGGTTTTGACTGCCTGAGCACAAAATTACCATAATACATCTGCAGGAATGTTGACATGGCTGCTGATGACCACCAATGACTCGCTGATTGCTTTGCCAGGTGTTGGGATATCTGGCGCTCAGACCTCGTCTGCTGGCTTAGTTTTTAGTTTGGAAGAAAATCCCTTGGCCATCGATATTTTGAGACAAGGATTGTGCTACTGCCGGTATTATATGACATGTTGTATTCAAGCCAAAAAGCAAAGGATAGAGGTGTTTATGCCCTAATTAGCTTACATTTTAGCATAGTTCATATTGAAAATGTATCGATTTGAATATGTTACAAGACAATAGAGTTTGTATTAAGTGCCTGCACCTACATTATAACAATAAATGCTTTAAATGACAGAAAGAAAGCATTACAATTGCTAACATAGACCAACTCAATATTACCAGGGATTTAAGTAATTGGCAGCAAAAGTAATGATAGCTTTCTTAACGGCAACTAAGAAATATTCCCCATGAAAAATCTTGTGTGTTTCTTTACTTCAACCAGAGGAAAAGTAAGCAGTTACAAAGACGTGAAATGTGTTGGAGAAACTTCGGACATGTTTTGGGAAATTTCAGAAATCAACAGGGTTTTGAAAAGTGCTTGAACAAAAACTAAGATACAAAACCTCTCTGAGTTACATTGTACTTCATCTCTATAATAAGGCATAGCAATTGAGAGAAAATAAAACAACTTCTTTACTACTGTTAGTATTTAATTGTTGTAAATGTCTTGCCAATAAAGAAGTAAGAGGGAAAAAAACACAAGGAAGGACCGCAGAGAGACACTAGAGACCTGAGTTGTTGCTGCTGACTAAGTATTAAATTACTTAATGCCTTCATAAGGGGGTGGTTATGTATTCAAGGTGTTTGATTACGGAGCAGCTTCCTGTGTGCACCTGTGAAGATGTCTTGGCCCAGTCCGGGAGAACGGCCATCTTTGTTGTAGAGATGCTGCGAGGAGGTGGAGCTGTGGAGGTGCTGCATGGACAGACAGTCACTCAGGACGTCCTGCTCCAGGTGAGGACAGGGCCGCAGCTGTCAATCACAAACGGGAGAAAAAACAGAAAATGTTTACAAGAAATGGTGAGTCATTTATACAGAACTCCATCTGGTTTGGAAGATTACACAACCAAAGAACAAAACAGTTATTCTCTATTTTTGGCTGGGTGTGTTTTTCTGTTTTATTTTAAATGAAATAACATGATTGTATTGTTGATTTGAAACAGTAACATATTACATTGTCAGTCAGGGGCGCCCAGAGGAGAAGTTATGCTGCTTTTTGAGTCATGCTTTGGCCTTGGTCTTTGTGGTTAAGTGATCAATGTACCAACTCAGAGCCAATACAAGATTGCTTCTGTTTCTCTCCCTGCCAACAGTAATGTGGGGCAACCGAAGACACATTGCAGCTGGAGAGCCGATCACACGCCACACAGAAGAAACCGTAACCTAACTTGTGTCAGTTGAAGAAATGAGACATCTGCCTTATAAATCAGCGTAACAGCTGACCTCTGTATTATACATCAGTGGATTCCTCTGTAATAAAACATTACAGTTGCTGAGGTACACACCAGCACTGTACCAACAACCACATGTTCCCTTTACTCAGGAGACCCACCTTCAAAGAACCTGTAAATTCAACACAGGGGCCGGTAAGTATGTAGAAAGAAAGAGGTTTTAAACCAATCTACTAAAGGACTCAATGGCTACTGCTTTGGCTCCAATATCAAATCATGTTTTATGGAGAAAAGAAGAAGTGGATCTTAGACTGTGTAAAATATGAATGTAGGCGCTGTGACGTCGCCCGTTGGTTTCTGAAATGATGTTGCGAAGCTCAATGTGAGTCGCCATCTTTGCATTAACAAAACCCGGCTAATCATCAGGTTGGGGTTATTTATTTGGTAGATTTGGTTTGAAGAAAAGGGATCCATTTTGATACACATTCTAAAACAACACAGACAACAGACATATCTCTGAAAAAGGATCCCCTGTCACCTCGTCACATCTAAAATAATTTAAACACCACTAGTACAAACATGATCAATCCAGGGAGTTAATAAACAAATAAATAGGCATTGCTACCCTAGCATCTGTGTCACACTGCTAAACTTTTCCATGTTAACCTCCGGCCCAAAGGACTAAGCTTTGATACTGTGTGCAGAGGGTGAGTCATCTTCCAATATAGAGCTGGATAAGCACTGTTTCTGTCCTGATAAGAGGTGACATGGGGGAGCAGCTAGTGGCTAATGGCACCCACCTGCCACTCAGAGCACCCACCAATGTAGACGGACCACTTTTGGACAAAATGTACTCTCCATTAAAAGGCAGCTCATTGTGGAATAGCCTCCCAACTGAGATACGGGATTGTCCCACTCTCAATAGTTTTAAAGGTCAACTCAAAGAATGGTTGAGAAACAAACAGACGTGCAATCCCCGCTAAATGCACTTTAACACAGGGGTATCTCCTCTTGCACTTTAGGTCGCTCTTGTATCTTCTCTTGCACTTTACATGTCGTTGCTGCTATATTGTACTGCCATGTCATAAATACTTGTGTATGCTGCTCTTGCTCTTTTGCACTTTTTGCATATCATGTATTTTGTTTTTGCTATGTTTGTAAAATGTAAACTTCTTAAATGTTTTATGTGAGGGAATCTGGCACTGTTACGCTTGACACATTTTTTATGTTTTATGTGTTCATCACTGTGCATTGTCCCTGCCAAATAAACGCTTAAATGAAATAAATTACTTTAAGGCCGAGTAAAACTTAAAGAGGACATATTGTGTTTATTGTCAGGTTCATATTTGTATGTAGTGTCTCTACTGTGACATGTTTACATGCTTTAATGTTCAAAAAGCTCTTTATTTTTCTCATACTGCCTGTGCTGCTACACCTCTTCAACCTACTTTTTTAAGATGCTTTGATATTAACCTTTTAGAATAATACATATTTCTGTATCGTAGTAGTAACTGATCTATGATGCTGAGAGGCATAACAATCTTAAGCGTTAGTATGAGTGTTTTTTTTTTTTTAAAGACAGGTCTTCAGTTACAGAAAACAAGGTCGACATTGTTCAAGGTTTATTCTTCATCATCAGCTCAACCCTATCGGTCTCGGTATCTCTGTGTCTCATAGTCTGTCCATCCTTCCACAAATCCAGCCTTTGTTATTTCATGAAAATCAAATCCACATTTTGATTCTGTGGTCGGACTGTGGTTGGAAACATTTTTCTGCACTATCACAACAATCTACTCTACCCTCAGCGATGAGCCAAGTGGACGAATAACAACGATATCTGTGCGTGACTTCACATCCTTTAAGACCTTCTGCCTCTCTGGCCAGTACAATCACAGATGATTGATTGAGTTTTACAGCTGGCATCCTCCACGTTATGACACTGAAATACTGTATGTCAATAAATATGTATGTGCTTGTCCTCCAGGGGATCCTTATGAGTTTTCTTGCTAAACATTCATCACATGTAATTGGGGCTCGGTTCTCCACACTGCGACACTCCGAACAGCTTTTTCTCTTTCTTCTGGAGCGTGAAGTAAGAGCGTTTGTTTGACATTTGTCCATAACATCTGCTCACTGGGGTTTTCAGCTGTACAGCTTTTTAACAATGCTACAAGCAAACATGTGTTTTCCCTTTACAGCAAAGAAACACATCATCCAGCCTGCCACTATCCAGCCCCTTCCACAACAATGAGCCCATTCTCTGGTATTTACCCACTTCCAGTCAGAGGAAGAATGGGCTTTTGACCATGAACGCGATGAAATGTGGTCTAACCTGATCTATTGTTGACAAAACGATTCGCAGAGACACCCCTCCGCTGCCCTAACCCTCATTTAAACCAACTTGATTGATCCGTGGATAATGTACATCAGAACAGGACGGATTACATCGACTAGTCTGTTTGTAAAACCTGTATTCCTACCTTAGTGACTTGAATTAAGACATGCTAAAAAGCTCTGTGGTTGACAATGTTTTCTCACTCTGAGATATGACCAACGATGGAATGGTGCATTCTGTGGCTATTAGTCCTGACGGCTGGAAATACTAGTTGTGGTGTTGTCATTGTCTACATTGTATAATTATTTGTCTGTTTTACTTTGATGTTTTTCATTTCTTTTCCTTTCGATGTTTCTTATTATGGCTCTGTTGTTTAAAGTGGACCTATCATGCTATATTTTAATAATATAGTGTAGGACCATACCTATATAAGGCATATTTATACTTTTTTTTTCTTCAAAATACCAAACAGATCATGCATTTTAGCCATGCCTCATTTTGCTCAATTTGACCATTTCTAGCTCTGTTTTTGCAGGGGTTGATTCTGTGAGCACAGCACCATCTACAGGCCTGGCATATGTACTACAGCGTCTCCAGCGCTTTCGAACGGCAATGGCCGTGGCTGTCTCCTCCTGATTGGTGGAGTTGGCCCAATAGCCGTAGCGCCACCGTCCTGACGTCAGGACAGTGTTCAAATCTGGATCAGTTTTTATCAGATCCGTTGCAGCCCTTTTTTAGAGATTGGAGGGTATGGAGGAAAATAGAGAGGGTTGTGTTTTCTGACACTTGGTGAGTTCCCTGGAACACCGGGGACACATATTCATGTATAAAAGACGTACAAAAGTGCATTTTGCATGATAGGTCCCCTTTAAGTTATCTTGATAAGCATTGGTTTGGTTTTGCCTGTGTGGGCATGTGCGGGTGGAGGGAGGGAGTGGGGAGTGTAGTGAGTGCACTGTGATACCACAATGTAAATGAAATGGCATCTATTATTGTACACTCTAATGAAATAGAGTTTTAGCATTATAATTGTGTCTTTATATAGAACGTAATCCCTTTATCCTTCCCTCTCTTGTAGAAGCTTTCTTACCTTTCTACGCACCTGTTGCTCTTTGGCCGAGTGGATCTTGACATGTTTGCGTAGAGAGCTGGGATCTGTGTAGCGCTTGGTACAGCCGGGGATCTGACATGCGTACGGTTTCTACAGGAAGAAAAACAGTATTTCACTTTAGTTTTAAGTTTGCATAACATTTAAAATCACTTTGAGGTGAGGGGAAACACACAAGTTTGACAGTTATTTGAGAAGATATAATGGATATTGGGGAAATTAGGCTGAGAGGAAGCAAAATGTATACACAATAAGTACATCTGTTAAAGTGAAGGCAAAGTGAAAGACCTACCTTTCAGCTGACAGAATGTGAAGTAAGAAGAAGAGGAAAAAATGCATGAAAAAGAAAGAAGAAAATATCTGTTATAAAATATTTTCAATAACAAATTATCTCCCTAAATTCAGAGCCTCCATCTTTTTTTTTAAATTGCTATTGCGGGTCTTCCCTGCTTTTCTTGTCCCATTGTATTAGTGAAGCCTCTCTTTGTGATAAAACAACCTCAATGCAACACAATAAATATAAATACCCAACAACGCTTGTCCAATTTTCAGTCAATTATAAAGAAATGGTTAGTTATTTATTTGCATGAATACGAATTTAAGACTGTGATAAAATTATGAACCATTATGTTATGTTATTTTATTATTATGTACTGTATGTCAGTGTGCATGCTGACATACAGACAGGGTGTCAGGAGGGAAATGTCGGCAGATTAGGCTAACAGGCATCTGTAGAATTACTTAATTGTCATGGAGGTTCCTCATCATTTCACATTCTTCCCATTAACCAAGCAAATACAGCATGTAGCTCGCTGATTGAGGGATTTTCCCCCTCACAGCAATTTCTCTCTTCATCGTCAGGAATATACGTTGGCCATTAAAGTGTAAGAGGATACGCAGCTTTATTAGCTCGGCCGCCATTCCTCGACCTTCTCTGTAAATAAGCCGTTGTTATTGCAAGGCGCTTATAGTGCCACTCATCTCCGCCATGTTTGTTTTGTCAAGCAACAAAACAGCGCAGAACCTTGAGTAGGAAAAAAGAAAAAGAAAATACAAGCACAACTTCTGCGACGAAAAAATACCATTAAAGCTTGAAAATGATTTCCCTGCAAAGTGTTTCTGGCAGGGCCGGCCGCTGGCACAGTGACGGCCTCAGCGGGGCGTTAATGTGAAGCCATAAGCATCAGGGTCCCAGATTAGCTGTATCATTTATATCACACTGTGGAGAGATCGGGCGCTGGAAGAAAATCCTGGACTGATAGAAAAACAAAAGTCTGCTTATGTAAAGGTTCTGAGTGATTTACTATTACGTGTACTGAAAGCATCAGTGTCTGGCCAATACAGGAAAACACAGGGGGAGAATATTCTGGAAATGTAAATAATATAAAAATACCATTAAAATTAGAATCTATATAATTGAGAGCGTTGCAGAAGCTGGTGAATTAGAGTGTTTTATTGATTAAAACTGATATTTATTCTATCTGGCATTTTTAGTACTCGGTCATATAGTCTGAATCCACCTCTCTGACCGTAGTTAAAATAAAAGGGAAACCTATTTTTACAATCACGTTAAAAAGAAAACCCCTTTATAAGAAATCGACTGTTGCGGTACAATAGTAACCTGCAACAATTCTTAAGGCTCTGAAAAACGTTTTTTGAGGAACACAATTTTCTTCATATTGTTAATTCTCCTTTTGAAGAATTTGCCATTTATATTTAGTCTGCATTGAAGAGTTGTTAGGAGGTTTGTTTAGTCACTGAAATATATAAATGGGATCTTATTTAGGGGTTATACCGTAGGTAGAGGATGTTGTGTCTCAGAGAATCTTTTTAACATTGGGTGCGCTAATAATAGTGAATTAATTTGACTTTATATTGCTCCATAGAACATCTACTATGTGCATTGTTTTGAATGAGTGATCAAAAACGAACTAAAACGAAATGCTTACAGTACAGTAGAAATGACTGTGAAGTTGTCTGAATTGTGGGAATGAATACTAATGTACGTTATTTGAGCAAAATAAGCCATTTATTCCTAAACTGTGTTGGCCTGCGGATGGTGATTAAGTGAGGTATTGGTGATAAAGTGAAGTATTGGTGGGTAACTGAGACATGACGAGTGGCAGCGATGGGTGACTCAATATTTCCCTTCCTTTAAACCCGTCAGAGAAACAGGCGAAGCTGTGTTTGCAGAACTCAGCTCCAATCCAAGTCTGTTAGCGACTTGGCCTAAAGGAACTGATCATTTAATGATCTGACGTGCCAGCATAGAGAGAGTGTCAAACATCTCACTGACTGACAGCTAATTAAAGCTTTTCACTGTCAAGATGTGGGAATAGGCATTAAGTCTTTGAGAGAAGTGTGGTTTTTAATGTTCAACTTGGAGCAATTACAGTGTGAGCAGACACACACATTGACTGAATGGAAATCCGTTGATAGATTTATGAATAACTCACATTTTAATTTGGCACATAATCCAATCCCTAAATAGATTTGGTAGAAACTAAATCTTTTATTCAACATGTTTAAATATTTAGAGTCCAAAATGTCATGCTGCTGTGTTTCCTTGACCTTAGCGACCACCCACACTATTTTCGGCAGAGCCAGGTTAAGCATTAATCTACTCTGGTGAAACATTGGGAGACTTGAGAGTGTCTGACCGTGTCCAGGTGAGTGCGCTGATGCTTGGCGCGGTCGCTGGAGTTGCTGAAAGCTTTCTGGCAGCCGGGGTGCTGGCACAGGTACGGCTTCTCTCCTGTGTGGCTCCTCAGGTGGATCTTCAGGTTCTCCAGACGTGAAAACGCTTTGTTACAGCTCTCGAACTGTGGAGGAGGGGACACAGCACATTAATATGACACAGGAATGCAAACATACACAAACACACACAACCACAGTGAGAAATGTATGCCCAGAACCACACAAGTAAACAAACAAACGCCCACACGTATGCACACAGAGAAAAATAAATCAATCAGTGCATTTTCTGGTCAAATGTGGGCTCTGTATATGTACAAGTCTGTGAGTCAGAAAGAAGCTTTCCCACTCTTCCCTCAGTCCCTTAAACACTCTTACAGCTGGAGGAGTTCACTTTACACCACATATAAACCAGCTATGGAAAAGCGAGAGATGCTTAAGAACATGGGAGGTATAATCGCAAGCTTTTTTTTTTCCATCCCTCTTGAATTACGCAGCCAATCCAGGGTCCTTTGTTGAAAACCAGGTCCACTTGAAAGACAGAAGCGTGCGTGACAGTGCACCTGCCTCAAGGCTGCGTCTAAATTGCAGGGAGAAACTGGAGTGTGCTGTACAGCGGCGGTTAATGGGCTGTAATGCATAGCATGAGATAAGTGTTCGGCTGTGTATAGTGCCTCGGACTGACAAGTGACAGTGACTGTGAACAGGCTCGTATCAGACCCAGTTTGGCCCATTTGATCCGAACCACTCAGCCAATGAACACCACAGATTTGTTAACAAGTGAATGATTCATGAGGCGTCTCGCATGTCCACTCCTGCTCTTAAGCAGAAAACACGGCTGATTGGTTGATGAGGCGGATCATGTCAAGACCCCCTACAGGGACTGCTGTGTAAAGAGTCACATCGTACATATGGGAAACTGGTATGGGAAGCATAGCTCAGCGTCACATATATCTACCTGAGGTTCATCTCATTAATGTTTTCAGGAGCAGCTGGACATCATTACACAGAGACTGTCACAGGGCACAATAGGAGCACATTAAGAGCTCATGTTAGCATCCTTCTTCTGCACAGCCACTTGCTTTTCACCCTATAAAGACTTCAGATGCATTATTTTATACAGGATTGCACAAAAGACATATTTATATTACATGTTTTATTATATTATTTGTATAGCTTGAACTTGTAATTTTCATAGTCACCAAGAATTGAGAAATACTAAAACCATTCTGCCATTATACAATATTTTGGCCACACCCCTTTAGTGTCTTATGGTTGGATTCAAAATCAATTCTTGATTCAGTAGATACAGTCGGTGCTCGTTTCAGGATCTACTCCAGAGTGCTGTGTGCTAATGAGCAGTGTGGTATATTATGGCATGAAAAAGAGGAAAGTGTGTATAGGATAAGGGAGTTTTTATAATTGAAAAAGTCATAACTGAAATAAACTATTAATTATGTCAAACTTGCACAAATAAACACTTTTCTTCAGTGACTTAAAGAATAACAAGTTCAAGTTACACGAGAAATAAAAGATGATATCTAAGAAACTTTCTAATTTAAGAAATAAGAAACACAATATAACACGAAAATAGATGACGCATCTTTGACTTGCTGTGTAAGATGTTATAGCCTAAAAAAAAAACCCTGGCTCATCTGAATGGCTGTGTGCTGTATGTTAGACAAATGACACCGGCAACCGTTTGAAAAAATATAGAGTTCAATCTATGTCAAGCACCTGAACATGAGGTTGAAATCATGGAGCAACCGCGAGCCAGGAAGACTTTCTGTCGGAAAGAAACATGGTGCAACTACTCCTACTACTTTCAACTCCTAAATTGTCCCTCAATGTCAGACTAAAATCTCCTGAAATTACAGCTTCCTCTTAAATTTCCCTAAAACCAATTTCTTGCAAAAGGGCTTTGCTGACCGCAGTGAAAATGCACCATCATTGACAAACTGTTGCTGCTGCGGTCTCCACTGTCTATTGTTGCCTGACCTTTAGTGAAGCCCGCTGACAACAGGTCGGGTTACGGCTAAGGAGAGAGTGACACCATTCTTCTGATCGGCCTTCAGCTTCATATGGGCTCAATGCTCATCCCTGGTCTCCTTCAGTCACTCACACAGCTCCGGCAGAGCCTTCTATTCACTGAGGCTCCATTTAATACAGGAGAAACCTAAGCCAGTCATGGTGGAGCCGTGTTGGGTGACCAGCTGATCTGTGGGTGTGCAGCGTGTGTCTGTCGCAGGAAGAGAGTCTTAATCTGCACCATTATGGCTTCACAACACACAGCTCATCAAGCTTTTAAAAACCTTTGAGTAATATTACAACAAGATCTGACAGGTGTCTTTTTTCAAACAGTCCGATTTTTTTTTTTTTTTTAAACTAAGCTTGTGATGTTGATTTTACTGAAAGTAGGCAAGCGTATGTGCACCAGGATATAGGATGTGAGCTTATTAATGCTCAGAGAGATAAACATGTCTGAAATTGAATTACTTTGTCCAGGTGGGTTAGTGTTATGCCAATAAATTGCCAAAATTCATGGGCCAATCTTCTGTAAATAGCATCAGTATCAGTAAAACGACCATCCTGCATATAACATGAGGGAACAAATGTATTTAACACAGTCTAAAATTGGAAATGATATGATAAGCTATGACTGCTTGACCAGACAGCAACCCTTGAGTCACAATAAAGACACAGGACTGGAATGCAGTAATGAATAAAATATTTACCCTGGACTCATCCACACACTCATTTAGTCCAGGCTTCGGCATACAATCATGGAAAATGTCTTAAAGAGTTCTCATCACACAGCGTCGTACAGCGGAAACATATTATTCTTTAGTCATGCCAATCAAAGGTTTCAGATGGAAACGAGAGACGCAGCGAGGGTGGGAAAGTTTAATAAAAATCTGAGGAACATCCACACTGCCGTAGCAGTCCTGACAGACGCGGTCCACGCTGACTGCTGAAACACGGCGCCGAGCATTTGAGTTTGGAAAACAAACAAGACTATTATTGACGTGCCAAATGTGTGTATTCATGTATAAGGGAATAATCACTCTTTCATTGCTTTCTTTTCCGAAATACTAATTTGAAGCTGAGTTATAGTAACGGGTCCGTGGAGGAAAGCGTGTTAATCGTGTAGAGCGTATTATTACTCGGGAAGCGGCTGAGAAGGAGGTTTCACTGCCTGCTGGGAAACCAACAGGCTCTGCCACCCCGAGGCATTGACGTTACCCAGAACCCTGCATGAGGAATTTTATGCAACAGAGATGGTTTAGCAAAGCCAATTCGATCTGGAAAATGGCTTCTTTCTCGTAGTAAATGGGATGTCAAAAACCTATTTAGGTTTGGATATTTTGGCCATGCAGTGCTGTGCAGCCAAATCCAGTATTCCTCCCGTTATGTGTTTTAACAGTACTGGTTTTAGCAGTTTGTAGTCTCATTTTTTGTTTATGATGAGCGTTTTATTGAGTGTTTTATTCCAACTTGGAAAGAATCAGAATCAAAATCAGGGTACTTTATTTAGAAATTAGATTTTGTAACAGTTGTCAAATTCAGAAATGTTTTTATTAAATCAAATAAAAATGAAATATCAGCATAGAGAAGTACAAATGTACAAATTGCACTATACTACACCACACTAATAAATATGTAAAAATGTGTATTTTACAATATATGTATTAAAATGAATGATAGTAATGCTGAAAACCAGATTATTAACCAAAGTTAAAAATAAAATGCTGATAAAAACCTCTAAAACTATGCTAAAAAAGCATAAACGTCAATAGGTTCTCTGTCTCGTCCACGAGGAGATTCCCCCAAAAAATAAACTGAGAGAAATGAGCCCATGAGTTAAAGTGGTATAAACATGGAGCTGTGCTGGCCGAGGCTTCTGACACAGGATTGATTTTACCTTTGATATTATCTATGAAAACAGTTTAGACAGCACTAATCACATTAATTGCTTTAAACATGTTTAGTTTTCCTCTCCGAAAACTCCGTCTTAGGTAAACGGGCAGATTACCGCACGAGTGGAGCAAACGCTGGCAGCGTGGAGGGGTTTGAGCACTGTTTGACACCGTCTCACTCTTGAGTCGGGGGGTTCAGAAGCTCGGTAAACATTGGGGATGACAGCGGGGTCTTGACATGGCTGAAGGGGGCGAGAGCGGGTTGAGAGGCTGGACAGCTGCTGATCACTACGGACAGATTATAGACGCAGCATGCAGGCGAGTGGAGGCCTTCATGGGAAATGACTCCTGACTGGCAGGGAGAAGGCCAAACAGAGCGGGGGCTAAAAGGCAGCAGTGTGCGGCTCCGCTCACATGCGGCGGCTCATTAGCAACCTGCAGGAGCTGCGGATGATGGAAACAAACCAGCCGTTATGGAGGGGTGTCCGCAGGAAGTATGGCTGCTGACATGTGAGGCAGAGATCTGATTAAAAGCTTTAATGCACGGCGTAGGAACAGAAATGCAGAGAGGAGAGAACCAGAGCTAAGATCAGCGGGGGGAGAAGTACTTTTATAGATTTTTTACTTTAAAATACTCTATCACAAGTAAAAGTCCTGCATTTAAAATCTTACTTTAAAGTAATAGGGATCAACATGGACCTATTATACCAGAAGTGAACACTACATATTGCGTCTCACCATTTCAGAATGGTTTATATTAAATGACTGGATTATGACTTGTTGATGCATTAATGTGTTCATCACAGCTAATGTGAAACTAACTTAAATTACTTTTTTTTGTATTATAATACATTATTTATTGGTTTATTTGGATTTTCCTGAATTTTATAATCTGAATCTCAAGAGAAACTGGTTACTAAAGTTGTAAAATAAATTAAGTTGAGTAAAGGTAAAATATTGTAGTAGAGTAGAAGTAAGAAGGAGTTTAAAATATAAAAGCTCAAGTACTGTACAGTACCTCAAAATGTAACATACAGTACCTGAGTAAATGTTCTTAAATACACCTTATTTTTGTTGAAAAAAACAACAACGCCGACACTTAAGCTTTTCTGGAGTTGATTTAGATGCAAGGGAATCTCCATTAGCACTTATATATCTGATCTCTCTGACCCTGTGGAGTAATTGCATATCAGGCTAATGATGGGGACATG